TTTTCTCTGGTACCGGGAACCGAACTCACGACCTTGCGCTTGCCAGGCAGGCGCTTTTGCCGCTGAGCTAAATCCCCAGCCCCATCAACCTTCTAAGTTCTGAGATTATAGGGGTGTGCCACCGTGCTGGAATCCTTTGCAGTTATAACTGGGGAGCTAAAACTGACCCCTAGTCAGTAGAGACCAGAAGTGATGCTGCTGCTGCACACCTTCCAGTGCCCGAGGCAGCACTGCCCCCCTTCCCTAAGAATATCACCTTACCTGAAGTAAAACAAAGAGTGGCATACAGGTTTCTTCCCGTTCCAGAGTACCACTGACCGTTTAAAAAACGACATTTGGCACAGTACTGACAAAGACGCTTTGAGCCGCATATTCCCCCAGAGGAGGTGCTGCAGCCCCTGTGGAAGGTAGCAGCCTGGCACCCTGTGCTAAAGATCTTACGTATACTGCAAGCCCGACTTAGGGTTGCTGCAAGCTGGAGTGTTGAATCAGAACCTCCTGGAGGGTGCATTTCAAGTACATAGGCTGGCCCACACCGCCCAGCGCAGGTGGAGCTTGAATCTTGTGCACTACAGTTACATTTAAAGGCTCTGCCAGGCCCCTCACAGAAATGCAGTGTAGACTTCATATAAGGCTTGATGGTGAGTAGCCGGGTAGAGACATCACGGGAAAGGTGAGGTAAGTTAGGGTACGCTGACAGCACAGAATACTATCTCATCCTCCGAAACAACCTTCAGGGGGGATTTTTAATGCGGTGAAAGCTCACACTAGGTAGGTAAAAGAGGCACAGAACCATATAGCAATATAATCTCAAGCCTAAAAAAGTTAGCCAGGCTATAGACCTGCGTGCTGTGACTGCCGGTAGGGGGCTGAAAGGAAATCCCAAAATGGTAACGAGGTACCAAGATGTTTGGGCTGTTGGTGAGTTCCATATTTGTCTATACTTTTCCCTCTTTTTGGCCAAATTTTCTGCAATTAGCATGCATTTTTATAATGATGATAAGACAAGAAACGATTTTTTAAAAACAAATGATTTCTTTAAACATCACTTGTTCTGTCATTGTTTTCAGGTAGTTCACAATAAAAATATCACGAAGACCCAGAAGGTGCGCTTCTTTACTGGGCAGGTCCTGGTCCACATAGCGTCTCTCTACAGCTGGAATGGGATCGCTGATGTGACCCCAGAAAATTCGGAGAACGCCACGGTACCGTCTCTTGGGTTTCAGTAGACCTTACTAATGGTAGCTTCTCAATATTACACTAGACTTCAAGATAAAATCCCCAGCTGGATGCAGTGGCCCACGCCTATGATCTGAACAGCTGTGATGCTGAGGCAGGATGATTGCTACAAATTCAAGGCCAGCGTGGGCTACATAGCCAGAACCTATCTCAAAAACCAAGAAATTAAACTAAAAACAAACAAAACAAATCCCATCATTTCATCTGTTTCTTTTGGCTTGTGGTTATATTAATTCTGTGCTAAGTGCAATATGATTTTGGGCCTTGTGCTTGCTGGACAACTGTCCTACCATGGACCTACATCCCCGCCCCTTGTATTTTTTGTTTTGATACAGAGTCTTGCTAAATTGCCCATGCTGGTCTTGAATTTGTAATCCTGCCTCAGCTTCTCAAGTAGGGGGACTTACAGGCATGTGCCATTACAAACAGATTAAATTCTGTATTTTTACCCTAAGATTTTTGTTCTCATCTGGGAGTTATCATGGTAGTACATGGATGTTGTTTTCAATGAGAAAACTGTTACTCCGTCTGGTGAGTGACAGCTTGATTCTGTGTGAGTGTCTGCCTGGCACGGAGGGTGGTGGGGTTCTGCGAGGCTCTCCCTCCTCTCATGGAGGCTCTTCCTTTTCTTTCTTCCGTTCTTTTCACATCCAGGTTTTGGAGTTTCAAAGCTTTCGTTCACTTCAGAACCCTGCCTAGGGGGCCTTGTATGTCCTCACCTACTGACACGGATCGTTTATTTTGTGACATTTTATTTGTGCTGAGTGAAAACAGTTGCTCTCGGATTGACTCCAGCCCAGTGTGCCTTTTTACGGTCCTCAGAGTGTGTTCAGCAGGGACTTGGCCAACACAGCGGAGGCGCAGCCTTTCGGTTAACTTCCGCAAAGCCCGCTTCTCCAGAGCCTGCTGTTCTCCTCCCTTTTATCTCAGTGACTTGCCCAGGTCCCCCTGTTCCAAACATATCTTTTATAGGAATCCCTGTGGGCATAATAACGCTCCCCATGTGCAGTTTCTCATTCGAAAGTACAAGACAAATTAAGTCATTTCAAAGCTTTTAAAAACAAAAGTTTAAACTTGCCTCTCTTAAGAGTATTCTTTTATCTTGATGGATGTGTCTGCTTGGGATGGTTTCGTTTTGTTTTTGGAATAATTCCAAGTGTTTGATTGAAAGTATTTTCTGAGTTGTCATTAGGTGGATGATACTGTCCTGTTTTTATGCTGTAGCTATTACTAAGGTTCATGAACTTGGGATTCATTGAATTATTTTCCACCCCTCACAGGTGTCTGCTGAAGAAGCAGGGAAAACCATGGTGAGGGAGCTCGTTCATAACTTCCTGATGGATCTTTGCTGTTCGCTCAAGCATGGGATTAATTTTTATGACGCTTCTTTGGGTACCTTTGGCAGGTAAACTACGGCTTTCTCGTGAACTCCAGCGTGTGTTCTCAGAAGTCATCATGTACTGACTGGAAACCAGCTACATAATAGAAGTGTGGGTTAGAATAGGAATTGTGTTCATTATCTAATTCATTTTAGGGGTGAACGATTAGATACCCCAAGTCTGTTGCAACCCTTTAAGGGCAGAGGCCTTAGGTAGCAATGTATTTAGATACGTAGACAGTGGTATGTCCCCTAGGGAGGTGTTGTCCGTGTCTGCTGGAAGATGCTGGCATCAGTCAGACTTGAGAAGGAGTAGGAGTCCCTTATGTCACCTTCCCAGGGAGGGGAGGCCCTGATGTGGCCTCTGCAGTGGTCCTAAGATAAGTGTCCTGATTATCCTAGTTTTGAGAGGAGGGTGATAATATCAGGGCAGTCAATGCAAAGTTTATATTTGAACCTAGGAAATACAGTTCCAAAGCTGATAGTCAATAAGGCACTTTGAACAACAGGATTATAAATTATGTTTTTTTGCCAGATGCAGTGGTGCATGCCTGTAATCCCAGCACTTGGAAGGCTGAGGCAGGAGTATCACCATGAGTTCAAGGCTAGCCTGGGCTGCATAGTGAGTTCAAGGCCCATGGGACCTTGCATAGTGAGACCCTGTCTCAAAGTACAAAACCAATATATATATATATTTTATATTTTGTTTTGTAGTTCATGGTTATCATAACATTTCATTGGTAAGAAAACACAAAAGTCGATATCTAATGATTTGATTATATTCTCTTAGATGTTCTCTTTGTAGTCATTAAATATATATCAGTGTTATTTTGAATTACCAAAATAACCTGGCTTTTGTCCTCATTTGACAGTAAAGCTACCGGCCATGTTTTCTGGACCTTGTGAACAGCTTACTCTCCCCTCTTGACAGCATGGTGTTTATTGCACAGATTTAGATAGTTTGATTTAGCTCCAGCTTTGGGCATTCAACAAACGCTGATTCCTTCAGAATGAGATAATGCTTGATTGTTTGGTAGTGGTGGTGTTTTTTTCCTAGTTTGTTTTTTTTGTGTGTGTGAGACAGGGTCTCAATGAATTGCCCAGATTGGGCTTAAATTTATGATTCTCCTGCCTCAGCCTGCTACAGTGCTGGGATTACAGGTGTGCGCTACCATACCTGGTTTGCATGTAACTTTGAATTTATTTTAATTCTGAGATTATTCTGACTCACACTTAGTGATAGTGTAGCTTTCTGCTCATCCGTTAGGAGGAGCTCATTTTCCTGCTAAAGTGTTACATGGGACTTTTATAGTCAGACACATTCTAATAACCTTGTTTAAAACATATACATTTCCCCCCTTTTTAAAGCAATCATCTCTGTTTAACTAGGTCTGTGAAATGGATGATCATTTAATGAGCATATCAGATCAGCTGAAGGGTGTGGGTCTGTTTGGAATAAGCTGTGGTTTTCATGAGTATTTCAAACTACTAGCCAAAAACAAACATTTGTGCTTAGGGGAGGCAGAAAGGAATTGTGTTTGTTTACAGTAAAGGCAGGCTTTGAGACGACTGAAATGCATGGTTTCCCAGCAGCTGTGTGGCCCGCTGCATTTCATTCAAGTCCCTGAACAGACGTCACCACTTCAGGCACCCCTTCTAACATACATCCTCCATTCTCAGTGTCCTTTCGCCTGGCTCAGCTTCTGCCTGTGACTTCTCAGCACCTTGCATGATTATTTTTTTGCATGATCTGATTTGGTGTGAAGTGGTATCAAGAGTCTGACCCGCTTGTTCTTCCCAAGGGCCTAGGGTAGTGCCTGGCACCTAGAACGTAGTTACTGAAAGTAGGGTGTTAGAGGAGGGAGTGAGACAGACCTTTTCTATTAAGGGCCAGATATTATTTTAGGCAGGTGGGCCATCGTCCATGTTGTGACCATTCAGCCATGCTGTTATAGCATGGAAGTGGCTGTAGACATGGACATAGACATAGATTATGACTTTGTTCCAATAAAACTTCATGTCCTGGTTTGCAGGATAAGAGCAGTTTCTCAATCACACAGCAGGACTGTAGTTGTAACTTAGCTCTGCGACTCTAGCAGGTTACACCTCCTCTCTGCCTCAGTGAGCTCCCCTGTAAAGTTGGTGCCTGCTTCAGAGATGTGGGGCAAGGTAACTGCCAGGAGCAGCATCTGGCCTGTATTGTACAGCGTGTCACTGTCAGCAGTCTTCATTTTATTACCTCATTGATTAAAGTAATGTGTATGCGTACCCTGGGCCTGTGAAGTAGGGGAATCGAAAGTGCAAGCCCAGCCTTGGTAATTTAGCAACTTAGTGAGACTCTGTCTCAAAATAAAAAAAAAACAAGAAAGGCCTAGGGTATGGGGAGACTGTAGGCGGCTGTGGGGTTAGGGAGGATGGCTTTCTTCCTCTTCTTTAAAAGTCAGGTTGAATTCCAGGGAGGGAAAAAAAGAAAGCAGAGGGGGACATGGGACAAAGTGGAGACCTTCTCAGCTGCTTAGAAGGAGGGGATAGAAATCAAAGCGCTCTAGAGTTCAGGATCCCACACCCATGGAAACACATCACTTCATGTCCTGGAGGAAATTTACCCGCAGCCATTTCACCAGTGTCCCTGAGAGGAGCTCCAGGCCTCTGCTAGCTTGAATTTTCCCTGCTGACCCCTCCCTCATCTCTCTCCTCAACAGAGGAGGCAACCTGACACTCTTGCACTTCCTGTTGGGTTTGAAAACTGCAGCCGAGGATGAGCTGGTGGCTGAGCTGGTGGTGAACATCCTGAAAGTGTGCCCAGACCTGCTGAGCAAGTACTTCAAGGAAGTGACGTTTTCCTTCCTCCCGAGAGTGAAGTCCACCTGGCTAAATAATGTCAAGCTGCTCACCAAGGTACAGAACACAGCATTTTAAAATGTGTAGCAATAGTAGGTGTAGAGTGTAAGGAGTGAGGACGAGCCGGGCATTCTGCTCTGATGAGCGGTATGGTGATAAAGGGGATATTTTAGCTGATGTAGCTTGGGTGACCTTGTCCTCTAAGTATATTCGCTGAGCTGGATTTTGAGATTTATTCCTTTTAGATATGTTGGGCTGATTGAAATGTCTGAATTGTGGGATAATTTTTAAAGATTGGCTTCAAGTCCTTAGATCATCTTGACATAAGCTGTGATATGTCGGGTCTGTTCGCTTAAGTAGATGTGTGTTAATTTCCTTTCAGCCATAGATGTCAACATCTTCCTCACCTATCAGTGGAGGTATAGGTTGAAATCCTTACTTGAAATGCTTGGGACCAGAAAGAAGGGTGTCAGATTTCAGAGGCTCTCAGGTTCTGGAATATTTGCATAGGTTTTCTTGATATTTGCATAGGTTTTATTGGGTAAGCATTTCTAATCCAGAAATGCACGATCTGAAATCCAGAATGCTTCACATTATGAAACTTTCTGAGCCTCGTGTCCTTTTGATACTCAAAAAGCTTTAAGTTGCAGATTTTTGGATTGGGGATGCACAGCCTGTAGTTACTGTAAATACTTTGGCAGTAATGCTTGGCTCCGCTGAGCTTTTTCTCCCTCTGATTTATGGCCTGCCTCGTGTATGTGAAACACCTGGGATTGTTTCCTTGCACCTCAGTCTGGACCTGGCATTATCGGTAAAAGTAGCTTTTATTCACGTATTCTCAGCATTCTCCTCTCATGCCCACATGTGCAAGCCCCAGCTGTATCTCCACGTGAGAAGAAGAAGGATGCCCTGTCCCTTGCTTGAGAAACTCGACTCTGTGACCAGCACCCTCTAGGGAGTGGCTTCTGGCACTGTCCTCCCCAGCACTGGGGAGGGCCGAGTGTGTGGTCTTTGCAACTCAGCTGCAGTCCTTACCTGGCTGCTCAATAGCCATGTGGCCCAAAGGAACTAACCTCACTGAGGTCTAGTTTTGCCCTCCACGAACTATTTTGAAACATCAAGTGTCCGTACTCCAAAGGGTTGTCATACTTTAAAAAGATATCTGAATTTGTCAAGTGCAGGGGTCATGGGTAAGTGATACCTTTATTACTTCTAGCACAGTTCCAAAAGTGATTTGTCTACTGTCAGGGATCATAAGGGGTGCCCCAGACCTCAGGCTAGGCTGTGCTTTGGAGGTCACTGCTGATGGTGGCCAGACTGGTGATCTGACTTACCTTTAACAAGTCTGATCTCGTCCCTGCAGTGGATATGACTTTTATCACTATAGAATTAATTGATTGGAATGGCTGCACTATTGCATGCCTATTTCTGGCCCCAACTGAATTTCTTTTCTCCTTTTCCTAGATCTATGAGGCCCAGCCAGAGATTTCCCGGGCATTTCAGACCAAAGAGTTTATCCCCTTGCCGCGGCTCCTGGCGATGGTGATGGTGACCACGGTGCCCCCGGTGTGCAGTAAGAGCATGTTCACCCAAGCGTTAAACGTAAGGTCATGGTCGCCCGGCTTCTGGAACTTCTCTTGCTGGACTCTCTTCTGAGAGTTTCAGCCTGGCTGTGTTGCTTTTTTTTTTTTTTCCGGTACTGGGAATCAAGCTCACGACCTCACGCTTGCCAGGCAGGCACTGTGCCGCTGAGCTAAATCCCCAGCCCATGGCTGTGTTTGATTGTTTTGTCAAGGAGTCTCTGAGCCTTCCAAGTGACAGGTGCCCTCACTTGGGGCAAGGACCTTGGACAAGCGCCATTCCTTCTGGGGACAAGTGGTATCACACCTTGTCCCCCTCGAGCATGTGGTGGGGACGTCTCGATCTGTCCATACCTCTCTACTCTGGTTGGGTGGAATGGGAGAATGTTACAAGGAGGGAAATTCTTTTATTAAAGTCTCATTAGTTCAGAATTTCTAGACAAGGTAGATTGAAATTTATCAATAAATCATTCTTTTCTTTTTTAATTGTGCTGGGGATTGAATGTGGGCCATGGCAAATGTTAAGCAAATGCTGTACCATTAGGTACATTTCCAGCAAATCTTTTTTCTCCAAGTGAATAGTGTTAAGATTTCTGGGGAATAGGTACTTTGAGAACCAGCTGTCTTCATCCATTTTTAGAGAATGTGTTTACTGAAAAAATTGAGACTTAAATTATATCATAACTTATTAATCAGGTTCCAAGCTCTTTCAAAAGCCAAGTGTTGAGGGGTTCGTGTATCTTTTACCATGGCATTGTTGGCTTGGGTGACTTTTTTTTTTTTTTTCCGGTACCAGGGATTGAACTCAGGACCTTGCGCTTGCCAGGCAGGCGCTTATGCCACTGAGCTATATCCCCAGACCAGCTTTGGTGACTTGCTGTAGGCAGTTGGCCCACCTGGGTTCGGGGCCTGCCAGCCCTCTGAGCCCAGTGGCCAGTTCCTTCGTGGGGAGACGAGGCATTCAGAGGGGCATCTTGTCCTTCTGAGCAGGCTGGGCTATTACGTGACATCAGCAGGAACAGGGTCCGTGAGATGTGTTGCATGGGCATGAGTTGGCCCGGTGGTGATGGGTGCAGTCACTAAAGTGGTGTCAGCTCCTGAGACTGCAGTGGAATTCTTTGATACCTGTCCAGGGTTTGTGCTGAGCCTGGACGGTGAGTGAGGAGGAGAAAAGAAGAAGCCTGTGTGGAACTCAGCAAAAAAGTCTTTTGTTCTGTTTGCCAAATCATCATACGCAAAATTAGGACCCAGCTAACTTACCCATCTGTTTTGTGGGAGACATTCATATTTCCCACGAGGCCTGCAGAGAATGGAATTGGAAGGAACATGTCAGATGCACCTCCTTTGAAGGCTGCATTTGCACACGCTGCACTTAGCCCTGGCTGTCTGGGAGATGAAAGGCTGACCTCTCTCCTGTCCCGGTGTTGTCTGCGCACATTCCGGAGGGGCTCCGTCCTCTGGCAGAGTGGCTTCGGGTGAGACGAGGCCTGGCTCCATCCCCTTCTGGTGGCTGCTCGCCTGTGCAGGCCCAGGCCATCGAGCCATAGCCTGGTCCTGTGCCCAGATGGCCTTGTGGAGAGCTGAGACTGTTCCCATATTCGTGGGACCCAGTGGTGTGAGAAATTCTAGAGGCTGCAGCTGGGAGGTTGTTTTTTTCTTTTGTTCCTTATAGTATTGGCTGACGAACTTCTAACAGCACATGTTTTAAATCAGAAGAAGAACTAGTTTATTTTAGAAATGAGATGTTAGAAGGACTTAGAAGCAGGTCACCAAGCTCCTGTGCTCCCAGCCCACTGGGTGTCGCGTGAGCATGCTGGGGGCCTGCCTTTGAAGGGATTATGCATTGGAGCCGTGTTGGCTTAAGGCATTTCCTGTGTTCTCCTTAGGTGCCCGGCAGCCACATGAAGTGAAACTGCAGCTGGCTGGCCTGCTGGGCACTGGGCTGGCATGGTTATGAAACTAAAAGCCGGTCAGAGTCCTGTTTGCTTCTCCCTCACTGTAAATCCCCAGCGCTCCAGGCAGGGTGCCCCAGGATTTAGCGTTTGTGGACTTGCTGCACATCATGTGAAGAAGCATGTTCTGCTTGAGTTGGGCTGGGCAGGGGCCTGGAGCTCTGCATTTCTTTCCTGCCCTAGGCACTTCTGGCACAATCAGTAGTCCAGGAATGAACTGCACTGACCATGGCCTGAGCTCCTCCCTAATTTTGTTACTAGCACAGGGTCTTGAACCCTAGTCTGTAGTCAGTGAGGACTTTGAAGACCATTCTAGCAGTCACCTGAACAGAAGTAGGGAATTGTGTGTGTCCCAGGCCTGTGATATGAGTTGCTTCTTACATTAGTTCATTTTCTGTTACTGTGACAAAATGCTGGGTATGTACAAAGAAAAGAGTTGTATTTGGCTCACAGTTTCAGAAACTGAAAGTCCAAGAATGGGCAGCCTCATCTGTTCCTCTTCTGTGAGGGCCGCCCTGGCTGTGTAACAACATGGCGGACAGGCAGAAAAGGACATAGACGCCGTGTACATGAGAGAAACCACGTGGTGATACAGGAAGCCAGAGGCTAAGAAGGGCCAATCCTGTTCCTTTTATAGCCACCCCTCTGTAAGCACTAAGAGTCCCCTGAGAACTACATTAATCCCTCCTGATGGCCCGCCCGTGATCTAAGCGCCTTCCACTCAGCCGCACTCTTAGAAATTCCATCTCCTCGTGGCACCGCCACGCTGCGAGCTGAGCTTCTGTCAGGAGCCCTAGGGAGACAGACGGACCACGCACAAACTGCAGCAGGTGCTTACAGACCTGGAGGGAGCTTTCTGCACTGCAGAACCTGACGTGTTTTCTCACCGTGTGTCTCCGCCTAACGCTGAGTGTTAGTGGCGGCATGCCTGCAGGGGGAGGTTCTGGTGATGTCTTGCTGCTGTTAATCTGCGTGGTCCTCATTGGTTGTTGTCAGAGAAGGCTTACTGCAAAGGAAACCACTGTCAGACGCCATCTTCCCTAACTGCTTTTCTGGCAGCGGCTGAGCTCAGACACGGAGGATGTCTGTGTGGGCAAGGTTCCTGGGGTCATCTCTTGTCACAATGTAGAGTCCAGTGTGACTGGAGAGGGGGCAAGAGCCAGGGCAGAGCTTGAGAGCTCTGTCCACCTAGACACACGTGTGGATTGAACGGTTTTTCTTCCCAGCTGGACAGCACATCGGTGAGACACACAGCTCTGTCCCTCATTTCCTTCATTTTGAAGAGAGCATTAAAAATCGTTGACCACTGCCTGAATAAGGAGGCATGGCAAGACTCGGGCGTGTACACGGCGGGGGTGATGGAAGAATTTGTGCAGCTCTTCCGGGAAGCACTGAGCAAGGTGGGCACGGTCTGGCTTTGGGCTTTCCCCGTGTACTCCCCACCGGGCACAGTGGGGAGAGAGGGCTGTCCTGGGCAAGCAGGGGGTCCCAAGTGCCGCCGCGTTGGAGAGACCAGCAGGCAGTCGTGGCATGGTGCTGAGGGTCAGCACCGAAACAGCCACACGTGTCACACTTGCCGTGCAGTCCCAAAGTCTTTGAGCAATGTAAGGATTCAGACAATGTCCCCGCTGTGCCCTGGGGACTGTGGCGGAGTTCTGGTTCTGGTGGGACCTCCTGTCCCGAGGGGCCGGTGTTGTGCCGCTCCCCTCAGCCTCCTCTGGACCATGGCACTGACTGTGGCCCAAGTGAAGGGGCTGGGTGGCCGGGCAGCCCCTCTTCCTCCCTTCGGAGGCTGATTCTGCCCCGATCGTGTAGGACAGGTTCCCCCCAGCTGGCCCTGTGGAAGTGTTACTTTGACTCTGGGGAAGGAGTCTTCAGGGCTTTGTTTTTATTGTTTAGACCTTTTATTCACCAAGTCTTTAGTGTGTGCGGTTTTAGAAGTTGCACCTCAGAACAGAGCTCACAAAGGATGTGTACCTGTTCTCAGCGTACCCTCTTGCTGCTTTCCTGCACACTCAGCACTCATGTAATTCACACTTATCACACTCACACATTTGTACACACCCCCGCCAGGTTTTGCTCCCTCTTACTGTGCTCAATTCATTCATTCCTCTTTGTTGTTTATACAACTGGGTTTTTTACTCCTTGTTCCCATTTAGGTTTTGCCAGATCTGAACACTGTCGTGTGGGTCTGGCAGTCACTTAAAAAGCAAGAGACGAAAGAAGATGCTGAGAGAGGGAAGAAGAGAGGTGACAGGACTCCGGCCGCCCGCACAGCTCCCCAGTGTGGTGAGGGCTTTGGGACCTCTGGTGTTTCACAGGGCTGGAGCCAGCAGGCAGCGTGTGGTGGCTCCTGGCAAGAGGGTCCTCCAAGCATTCATGTTTCAGGGCCCCTCGGCTGTATCCCACATGGTTTTTTGCTTAGGGGGCAGAAGTAGAATTGTAGCTTGAACTTCAGTATCCACTAGAAATGTGTCCAGGCTTTGTGCGAGTGCTGCATCTCTTGAGGACTTGAACGCTGGGTGCTGTCTGCTCTGGCCTTTAACTAGGCGCAGCGTGGGAGGCTCTTTCTTGCTCAGTGATAGAAGTGGACTATACGGGCCCCTTCATATTGAAAACTGTGGACTCAGACCTTGTCATTGGCCAGGCAGTGGGCTTTGCAGCCTGAATCTAGATCCTCTAGGCCTTATGGCAACCCTATGAGAAAATCCCCTTGCTCAGATGAGGGTTTGAAAACACAGAGTAGCCTTAACCTATCCAGGACCATCGCAGCCAAGTAGGGCTGCAGCCTGGGCCCTTTAGGCAGCACCACATCAGCGCTTTACATCTCATTACTGTCTGCAGCTTCCCTGCGCAGCATTCGGTTGACTGCAGTGTGGCAGCATGTGTGGCTTGGCTGCTTCCCTGATCAAGATCCAAAAATAAATTGTTTCTTAATTCAGGCCATTTTCTTTGTTGCAGACGATGCAGAAACTCTTCTTCTGAAAGCCGTTCTGCTCCAGGTCATTTGCCTGTACCAGCAGGTGGTCCCCCATGTGGTCATGCAGTACAACTTTGACTTCAGCAAGCTGCTGAAAGGTGGGTCTCGGCGATGGCGGACCAGCTGCTGCCGTCTCCACTGGCAGAGATGACAGAGGTGTCGATAAGGCAGACAGGCGCTTGGGCACTGAGGGTCAGCAAGGCCCAGGGTTACTTTGCTGTGGTGTTTGTGATCCTGGGCCCTGATTAATTTTATTGGGACCAATATTCTTATAGTAGACAGGTTTCTTTTAAGTAAGACTAGGTGAGCACCGAGCATAAGCCGTGCGAGCTGGAAGGGAAAGCCAGCCAGCCCGAGTGCCCTGCCACAGACAGTCCACAGATTGGACCACAGCACCTTTACTCTAGAGCGGTCTTCTCAGGGACCGGGTGCAGAGATGGAGGCAGGAAAGGGTACCATGGACATCCCATCCCGTCCTGCAGAGGCTTTGGACGTAGCAGGCTTGTGTTTTACCCCCCTGAGTCGGACTCAAACCACATCCCATAAAAGTAACATTATGCTTGCCTGGTCATGGATCCTTGATGGTTAGGTTTGCCTCATAAAATCGACTTTGTAACTGGGCCTATGGAAGAAAACTTGGAAAATACCCTTCTTGTAATTTATATAAGCCACAGAAATAATCCTTTTCCAGAGCTGTAATTTTAATTATGTGAAGGTGCAAGGTTGTCTTTGCTGTGGGAATATGAAACTCACTAGACCGTGGCCAGGTGGGATTTATTGGCGGTGTCCTCACACAAAGGAGAAATCCAGACACTGAGTTAGAGGACAAGGGTGCAGTCTCAGATTCAGTGGCCAGAAGCTCTGTCCACAGAGCACCTGCATGTGGGCAGCGAGGCCAGTGTCCAGGCAAGAGATCGCATTCATGAAGCTCACACTTGGAGGCAGCGTGGTGTGGGGATGCCTGCGTTAGGATGAGGTTAGCGTGGGCCAAGTGACGGGGAGGCGGCTTTGGGCGGCGGAGGATGTGGCTAGCCCTGGGGTGGGGCGGGGTGTCGAGAGAGCGGTGCATAAACAGCCTGGGCAAGGCAGCCGAGACACAGCGACAGACCCACATCCTTTTATCTTTGTGGAGGCGCGTTTCCAGCTCGGGTCCTTTGGTCAGGCAGTGTTTGCTGGGCACTCACTCCTGGGTGACTTTGTCAGTTTGCCTCCCTTGTGCCCACAGGCATCATCTCGGAGCAGGGCCTCGGCCGGGAGGCCCCTCCCATCCTGCAGCACCACATGCTGAAGGTGGCCCTGGAGCTGCCGGCCAACAAGTTCTTGTGGCTGAAGGCACAGGTATGAAGTGGAGTGTTCCAGTCTTCCGCCGCTAGCTAACCTGCCGGGCTTGTTGGCTTTTTATGCTGTTACTGTCTTTTTATCTTGACTCTTATACTTTTCTTGTATTTTAAAAAGATGTTTGTGGAAATAAAATATACTTTCTTCTTTGTCCTTGTCCTGGAGGAGCTTAAGACAGAGGTGGAAATAAACCCCAAACCAGCAGAGGACTGTGTGTGGTGGAAAGTCCACAGACATTGCTAGCCCTGTGTGTGTCTTCAGCAGCGTCCTCGAGGACTCTTTAGAGAGTGTGTTGACCCAGAAGGAAGCTCAGCATGCAGCAGATCTTTGCCTGTGTTGTTATGCCCTAATGCTTTGTCACTCTTGTGCCATGAGGGAAAATGCTCAAACAAGTGTGCCGCACTGGGTGTGCTTCTCATTTGCTCAGAGTGTCTTTTTTAATGAGTTAAATCTTACGTAAGATTTTCATATGGAACCAAGAGCATGGAAATGGATGTTGGCCTTTTTACATGTGATATTTCTAGAAAGTTCGAAGCATGCCATGGCCCTGGAGTCTGTGTATGTTACCCCAGAATCCTCTAAGATTCCCTGCATCAGAGTTGAGGGTAGCTTTCCAGAGGACTTGCCACGTGCCAGGCCGGACATGAGGGCTTGTGTGGCCCCTCTGTTCACACCCCATAAAGACAGCACTGGGATGCAGAGTGCATAGGACACTTCTGTAGGGCCCCAGCCATGCAGGGGGTCCAGGGTAGGACCCAGTCAGTATTGCCCAGAGCCCTGTTCTCAGCCTTCCATTGTGCTTAGCCCACCACCCCAGAGGGCCAAGACGGGGGGGGGCATCACTGACAGGTTTTTCACTCTTGCTGAATTGGGCCAAGCGATCCTGATGATTAAGTTGGAAGATGAACAGAGGCCTCATAATTATAACAGATGGTGTTAAGATACTGACTTATAGCCAATGGCCTGTAATGTTTGTGAGATGTGTCTCTTGGCGTGATCTGCTGGCTAAGTTACCCCAGCACTTTACCGTATTCACCTTAGCCTTATTGCCAAGGACTGCAATGAATCACAGACTGGGCAGAGTGTGGGTTGGGGATCTGGAGCTCTGTGCTCCTCTCCGAGGCCTGTGTCTAAAGCCTGGAAGCCTTTTTAGGCAGGTGAAGTGTGTGTAAGTGGTCAGTACTTTCACCCCTGCATCCTGATAGAATGCGGCCAGTGCAGCCTTGGACGGGATCAGGGATCAGGCAGCCCTGGGTCCCTCCTTAACCACCCGTTAGGCTCTCAGTGTCTGCACCTGTGCTCCCTGGGCTTGGTTCTCAGGAAGCCATTACCTTCTCTTGCCTCAGTTTTCAAAACGTAAGCCAGAGTAGGGTCGATCTGGACCCCAGGAACACACTGGCGCCTGGAGAGGATCGCTGTCCTATCCCACAGCGATGTTGGGGGCTTTTGAGTGAGTGGCCTGACTTCTGCCGTTCCTGTGTGTGAGAGCACAGTCGCTTCACTGAGTGTCACTGGAACGAGGTGTGAGGAGGACCTGGCAGTGTATTGGGCGTGTGGTCACCTGCCTGCTCAGCAGGTCATGGCGCTTGTTATCTTTATAATACATAGTGATTTACTGAAATTGTACATCTATATATAATTTCATACTGAAAGTATGTAACAATGTTCAAACTCTAGGAAGGCCCAGATGCAGAAATCATTGGAGGAGAACGATCCGTGTTCTACTTACTGATGAAAATGTTTGTGACCAGTAGCCATTTACAACTCAAGTCATCCACCAAACTTCTAATCATGAAGGTGAGCACTGTCTACCAGCGTCGGATTCTGAGAAGCGTTTGCACAGGTTTTCTTAACAGTAGATGCTTAGTAAGTGGTTGTTGAATTCAGGATGTATTGGGACTATTGTAAATTTTAATTAGAAGATTTTATGGTAATTTTTAGTGTGTCTTAAATTTAGTTTGATTCCTGAGAGATTACACAGTGAAGTGGTTGAAAACATCAGCTTTCAAATCTGATTCTTAGATTTAAATCCTGGTTCTACTCTTTCCTGGGAGACTTGGACACATGACTAGTCACTCGGAACTTAATTTTCCGTAGTGAATGGCGGTGACAGAGCCGCAGAGTGGCCGAGGAGACTAGAGATGAGAAAGAGGCAGTCCGTGCTCCACACACCCGAGGCCTCGTAAACACTGCACTCTGTCCCCTTGGATCTGGCGAATAGCTTTGAACTCTGGGGCGTTCAGCCTTTTCACCTTGTCTGTCCCCACAGCACAGGTGTGGCTAAGATCAGGTGGGGAGGATGAGGGCATGTTCTCCCTTTCCAGAGCTGCTGCAGGTCTGGCTATGGGGAATTCCTTCCTCACTTCTGTTGTATAGTCAGCATTTTGGGGGGTGGCGGTGCTACAGAAATCACATTCACTGTTTCTCGGGCTCAAGGACTCAGCTCTTCACCTAGATGAGGGGCTGGTAATCTCACCGTAGTTTCCCTTCCCACCTGAGTCGTTTGAGGAGCGTGGCTGTGTGAGCCTTTGCCTCCAGGCTGCATTTCCTTATAGGCAGTGTGGGTGGGACCTGGCACCAGGCACACGTCCTGAGAGCCAACTGCAAATAGGTGGAATCGACAGTTTGTGCCTCTTCAGCACGCACTGTTGCAGGGCCCTGTGCCGTGAGGCCCCTTACGCCATGAGTCTCTGTCATCAGACCATCAGGGGATGTCAGTTACTCAGCCCTGCAGCTCAGATCCAGCCCCATACTGAGTCCTGTGCTGGTGGGGATGGCGTGCTGCTTGCCCAGCCAAGTCTCAGTGCCACACTGCAGTGACGTGGTATGGCTGGCTCCTGACCTTGGAGAACTTCCTGCAGCCTGAAGGTTGGGTTGCCGGGAGGGGTCAGGCCACGCACATTTAGCTGGGTCTTTGCGAAAATCCACGTAGAAAGCCAGCCCTCTGGAAAAGGAGTAAGCAGCAGCTGGGCAAGGAATTGTATTGTTTAGAGCTCTGGGCGGCTCATTCACCCCTTCCCGCTCCTCGGTCTCCATGCCCTGGTGCAGCACGAGGCCCCTGCAGCTTGCACAGAAAGCAGGTTCGCACTGTGTCTGCTCCCTACAGATTCTACAGGACACAGGTGTGTTTGAATACACCTGGAAGGAGCTGGAGCTCTGGCTGGAGCACCTGGATCACACCTCAGAGGACAGCAGAGAGACGGTGATTCAGTTCCTGGAGCGAGTAAGCACAGATTTCCCACGGAAAGCAGCGTGTCCTGGGATGACTACACGCCCGGGCCCTCCACGTCATCGAGGCGTTTTGATGCGGCGATGCCAGCGGGGCTTTTGCCCTGGCTTATTTCCTAATCCTGCTGCAATTCCAGAATCCACTTAGCGTTAGAATCTGGATCATAGGAATATGTTACTGCATGCTTTTTCATTTTCTTTTGGGAATTTGTTTTTGCATGATGGAATGGGATACACCAAACGCCGTGGTAAAAGCACTAGTCTACTAACAGGAGATAATTTTGCTACATTGTGCAACAGAAAGTTAAGGAAGAAGCAATCTTTGCAGTAAAATTATTGTTTTATTAAGGACAGCTAACATTTTAGCACTTCCCTTTGCCCGCCCTTTTTCATCTCACTTGTAACCATGTCAGTGTTTTCTCCTTGGTGCTCGAATGCCCAGGTTTTACTGACGCTGGTGGCGAACCCCTACACGTACACAGACAAAGCGTCTGACTTTGTCCAAGAAGCCAGCACTCTGCAGGCCACTACGAGCAGGCAAGACGCAGATGACACCAGCATTCCCATCTCCCACATCGACGGTAGGCTCCATTCCTTTCTGTGCTGCCACTTGGCAAGTTAGACACGGAACAGGAATGGCACTGATGCCTTAGGCAAAACGCAGACACCTCGTTTCTTTGTGTCAAAGGTCAGCCTGTTCTAGAATGTTCGTGTATGTTATGAGATGTGTGCATAGAATTTGCTCTGGGTTATTTTAAGTTGGTAGCATTTACTCTGCCAGGTGCTTTGTAAGCTTTCTGCAAATGTGACCGCCTTAAGCCTCATAAACAGCTCTGAAGGAAGAAAGTATTATTGTCCATGTCTCCACAGCACAGCGAGGGATTAAATAACTTGCTGTGTCTCACCCAAAGTCAAGATTTGAAGCCAGACCCTCACTCTAGTCTGTGCTCTCAGATCTTTGCTTGTTTGTCTGCATATCCAGGTTAAAGTTCAAAGGCTTCACCACTACTGATAGTCTGCATTTTGTCAAAGATTATAAAGACATCTTCACCTATTTAGTATCAAACCATATCAAGCATTGTACCCCAAGAGAAGTTTAGATTTGTTTTATTCTCTTCAGTGCAAATATTCTGTCATTCCTCCTTCACCTGGGGGTTGGCAGTGGAGTCCTTTGGTGGTGTTTGCCTCAGCGGGACTAGACTGCCCCTCTGTCTCAGATGTGCTCGACATGGTGGACGTCCTGGTGGAAGGGAGCGAAGGCCTGGACGAGGAGATTGGGTTCTTGCTGAACGAAGACATGATCCTGCTCACGTTCCCGTTCAGCGCCGTGGTCCCCGCAGCCCTGGAAGCCAGGAATAAGTTGCTCCTTGGGACAGACACTGAAGCAGGTACCTGCGCACAGTCAGGGTGTTCTGGCTGTGCCGGGCCGGCGCGGCCTCTTCAGTGTGTTCTTGATGTGTTGATGCTAAGGGTGGATCTTTCATACTTGCTGAGCTTTCTAGGCAGCTCAGTCCCAAGAAGCACCTGCAGACCACAGTGGTGTGGTGAGTGGGAGGGCGCAGGCTCTCTGCCCGCACTTGGCATGCTCTAATGAGTAGGGGTCTGCTCCCTGTCCTGCCGTGGTCCTGTGCAGGCCAGGGTGCCCTTCTGGGCGCTGTCCTCCGGAGGTGGCTCGGGACCCGGGCTGCTCCTGTGGAATCATCTGGCCGTCGCAGCCTGTGGCTTCCAGGCTCTGCTGTGGCAGGGAAAGAGAATGCACAGTCAAGGGGGTATGTCATGGCCTGGAAGGGAGAAACCCAGGCACCTGGTCCCATCCTCCCTGCCAGAGAGGCTCGTGTGCCGGGGCAAGAGGGAGGAATTCGCAAATGCTACGCAAAACCTGGGTCCCGGTGGCTTTTGCTTTGCCTAGGTCTGACTGCTGCCTGACCCTGTGTTATCTGTTTCATAATATAATCTCAGCTACTCAGAAGGCTGAGGCAGGAGTATTACAAATTCAAGGCCAGCCTGGGTAATTTTTGAGATAGTGAAAACCTGTCTCAAAAAGGGCTGCGGGTTCAGTTCAGTGGTGGAGTACACTTGGGATTGACCCCCAGTACCATGATAAGCTAAAATGAAATACAGTAAAGTGGAGCCTAGGACGGTGTGTGGTGGGACCCGCCTTCCCCTGTGGGCATGCAGCCCTTTGTGGAGGTGGCGTGAGTTTCTCTGGGTCTCGTGTGGAAGGAGGCACTGTTGGTGGATCTCAGAAGGGATTCCAGTGGGCTCCTTCCCACACATACTGTCCTCTGCAGGGGAGAGCATCGTGGCCTATCTGACGGCAGTGCTGACCGACCTCCTGCACACCCAGAGGGACCCCTTGGCTCTGTGTCTCCTGCTGCAGGCTTATGACAAGTTTGAGCCTCCCGGCCCTCCTTGCTGTCAGCAACTGTCCCGGTTTAACAGCTACTACAGCCTCTGGATCCCGGAGCAAGCCCGAGAGGCCTGGGTGAGCCACAGCCGCAGCTGCCCCGCTGAGCTTCCTTTGCATGGGCTGCAGCTGGCCTGCCACAGCTGTGTGACCAGAATGCCATATGGCTCGCAGGGAGCAGTTTCTTAATCTTCCGATTTCCCCGGTGTAGGAGAGGAAGCTAAGTTGCATTACCACCGCTCAGCTGATGTGACTGGAACACAAAGGAGCCAGTGATACGGCAGAATTAAATTTTCCACTGGGCCTGTAATGATAATTGGCTGATCACTGTTTCAGCTGGAGGCAAAAGATTATCTTTCTCCTTTTTCCATCCCGAGTGGTGTATGATGCTTGCGTCACAGCTCTCACTGCAGACCTAGGCACGTGCTCCCAGCAGGCTCCCTTCTGCTAAAACTGAGACAGCACAGGAAGAAAGAGTTGTCTTTGGTAGGGACTGCATTGTTGTAGTGGGCTCCCGGCTGCGGTTAAGAGTACTTGCCAGTGCTCTGTAGGGTAGGGAAGAGCTTCACTGTGGGCATTTTTGTGAATTCACTCAATTTCTGCTACCCTCAAGAAAGCAGGTAGCCTAGCAGTGCTGGCAAACCTTTCAGAGCTTTCAGTGATCACAGCTGGCTGTCGCACGTGTGGCATAGGTTCGCCACCCCTGGCCGAGGGCTCTTCTGAGCAGTGTTCATGGTGTGTTCTGTTGGTTGCACATGCCAGGCCCCCACACCAAATGTACTTTGTGTATTTTGAGCCCTTTGATCCTCATAGCTCTGAGAAGTAGATCAAGACTCCACCCACCCTTTGCACACATGAGGAAACCAAGGCACAGAGTGCTTCCCCCCGCTCAGTGGTAGTCAGGACTTGTCCAGACAGTTTGGCTGCAGAGCCCAGGCCTGTAACACCTGTCCTCACCTTTCCTTGCACCAAGGCCTGGTACGGCCAGACAGTGGCTAGTGTTGAGGTGCTGGGAGCTAAGTGCTGCGCACCTGGTGCTTGGGTGTCCCGGCCACCCCCTCTGAGGATGTCACAGCAGTGGCTCTCACCCTTCAGGTGTGTGGCCGTTCCCTGGAGACTTGCCAAACTCAGCCACTGGGCCCGACCCCACTTTGTGAACCAGCAGTTTGGGGCTGGGGCCTGAGGGTCCAGGGACCACACTCTGAGAACCGCTGGGTCCAGCGCACAGACAGCCTTGGGTTTATTAGTTCCCAGAAGTTAGTGGAGGTGTGGTAATATAAGCCACGTGGGGTAAATAAGGAAGACATTTTGCAGTATGTTAGAAGAAACCCACAACTCCCATTTGAGGCAGAATGGCTCCAGAAATTCCTTTTTGTTTGGCCCTTGTTTCCCATCCTCCCCACAAGACATTCTAACAAGGCTCCCAGGGAGACCACTAGCTCACAGTGCGGGTCCCCTGTCCGGTGACTTGCCCTGGCTCCTGTTGTTAAGCCGGATCTGCGTGGCGTGTGGCAGGCTCTAGTCACACCTCCTACTCGTGCCCTTCATGTTCCATCAGCATGAAGCACTCTAGGGAAGTAGGTGAGACTGGTGGTTTCGGAGTGAGTTTACTTCAGTGAAGTGCCGCACAGCCTGCATTTTTAGTCGTAGGCGTGATTATTTTGACCATCGCTATACACATCACTGCAGGTCTGTTACAGCCTGTGCAGCATTTCCGTTGTGCTGATTTGCGTTTTGCCCTCCTGTCTTGCCATCTCTCTCAGCCTCTGCAGACATCCAGCAGCTCCGCGCCCCGTGTGCCCGCCTTGGCCTCCGGCTTCTCCGCCCTGCTGCAGATGGCCTACGAGAGCCACACACTTGGAGAAGAGCACGTTCAGGAGCAGCTCCAGGCCGCTGTCCAGTGTGTCACCCTGCGCCAGGCCCTGTGCTCCACCAAGCAGGTGCTTCTCTACCTCAGGAGCACTGTGGAGAACTTCCGCCAGGTCAGCACCGCTGCTTCAGCCCCATGCTCCGCATGCCACCTCGAGAGTGTCTTTTTCTGAGCTGGGACAGGACTTCTGATGGCCCCAGGGCCATAGGACAGCCTGCAGCTCAGGAACCTGGACTCAGGGCTCTCTCCCATTCCTCTCTGGAGCAGATGGGCAGAGGCAGCAATGCTGCTCTCTGCAGACCATTGTGTCCCTCTGCGGTGACAGATAGGGCCCCACACTTGGCCTCAGTTTGCGGTGGGGCCATTCACGGTCAGGGCAGGGCCCTCCTGTAGTAAACTAGATCAGCAGCCCTGCTGGGCCTCCCTCCACCCGGAGTTTCTGCATTGGGTATGCGCAGCTGAGTTCTTCCCTGAAGTAGTTCACAGATCTGCGGGGCAGGTTACTGTTGGCCTGTGCCCCTCATTTCAGCCGAAAGAAGCCCGTGCAGTCACCAAGGTTGGGAAGCTCGCGCCCTCACTTGAGAGACGACGCAGCGTGGTTGGTGTTCACAGAAACATGTGAAGGAGGTCCCCTCTCAGCCTGCCCCTCAGGTGTCCTCTTTGTTCACCCCAGAGCCTGGCAGTCACTGTTCTGGTGGCCGTCAGCCCTGCCCTGTCTAAGGCCCACGACACCGTGCTGCTCTTGTCCTCACAGCTCGGCAGAAATGTGGGACCCCCACTCCTGCGCCTCTTCCTGGATCTCCTCAGACACTTGGTTGTCCGCTGCAAGCACCTGGACACCCAGAATCAGCAGAAGTGCGAGGCTGCCCGTGCCGAATCTGACCTCTTTTTAGACATGGAGTCTGTTGCCTTGCTGGAGTTGGCCAGTGACCAGGTACCTCCACCCTCCTCCGCAGATAGCCGGTTAGCCTTTTCCTGGAAGGAAAGGGTGTTTCTGATTGGAAATACACTTTCACTGTAAGATAGAGAGTCTCTTAAAGCCTCCTGTGACACTCGCCACACGCACCCCCCAGCTACGCAGGGCTCAGGCTGGGCGTTCATCTTTCCAGTTGCTCTTTGGAGTCACAACCACTACAGGCCCCTGCCCCTCACGCCACGTGCCAGGAGCCTCAGGAAGCCAGTGTCCTGTTTCCTCTCCAGAAGCTCAGCCTGTGCTGCTCGGGGTGGCAGTGGGAGGCTGTCGCCAGCTGTGTGCATGGGAGAGGGCCTTTCTCTGCTAGTCTCGTGCGGCAGGCCGTGTCTCTGGGCCAGGTGGACGTTTCGTCACTGTGCCGTGTATCCTACTGGGTTCAGGAAGCGAGCTTGTTCCTCCTCCCAGTCTTTCTGAAATAGCTGGCTTCCTTCCGTGGGTCTCCCCATGGCTCCCTGTTGGATGGACCATCCAGCGATGCTCAGCACTTTCTCCCCAGGTAGTTGAGCCAAAACTAGCTTTTTGGAGGCACCTGAGGCCCCATGTTTCTCTGGAAGTGGAGCGGGAATGCCTTTAAGACTGCGCTATTCACCGTGGTTGAGTCCCTGTTACCTTCCCAGACACATGGTCTGAACTGTGAGCCTGACCCCCTTGCTCCTCAACCAGATTTACAAGGGAGGGTGAAGCTACCAAAGTGACGGAAGGTGGCCAGTCTTCGTCACATTTTGCCCTTGCTGGGTGGCCCTTCCCTTGTTCCCTCTATTTTGTGTGGGAGAGCAGCTTGCCACACAATAATTCCGTTCTGGCTGGAGTCGTCAGACACATGCTTGTGACTCTGAGGAGACTCTGACCACACCCTGTGCAGCCTCCGAAGTTGCACGGGAGAGGTGACTCGCAGTGTGGCCATCATACAGTGTGGACGTGGGGCTAGATAGGAGAGCTGTCTCCTGCTCTGCCTCCTGCTGCCTCACTGATGACAGCAGATGCTTCCTGGTAGCTGCAGCCTCTCCCTGGCCCCGTGCCTCTCATGAAGTCTGTCACCACCCATCTTTCAGACGCTGGAGGAGGTGCTGGTAGCCATCCTGAGACACCCAACCCTGGAGGGCTGGTTTCTGGCCCTGGAGCGGCAAGCGTTGCCCCCACACACACTCAGCCCTGTCCTCGTGAAGCTCCTGGCCGCCCAGTTCAGCACAGGCGTCCTTCAGCTGCTGGTGGCCAGCGCCCCAATCCTCCGGAACATGGGGCAGCTGGGCCTCCTGGCCAAGTACTCGGAGGCCATCACGCAGAGCGTGTTGAGGGAGCTGCGTGCCAGAAGCACCGGCCGAACCACTTCGCCACTCAAGACCCCGCCACAGCTGGAGGCCCTGCAGGAGTTGCACCCGTACATGGAGGGTGCCCAGCTCCGCGAGGTCACATTGGCCCTGCTGGCCCTGCCTGAGGCCCACCTGCTGACCCCACCATCCACAGAGGCCCCCGAGAAGGAGAGGCAGCTGAGCATCCTTGGGAAGACCCTGGTGCAGCTGCTGGCCAGCAGCCCCCGGGACCAGCTGCAGAGCAGCGAGCTCCTGTGGTCCTCCGAGTATGTGCGTGGCCTGGGGGCTCTGCTCCCCGTGCTGGCTGTGGACGAACTGGACACCGTGTTCCTCCACACCCTGCAGAGAGACCCCATGCTGGCCCCTGTGGTTGCGGCTGACCTGCTTGACTACTGCCTGGCCCAGCAGACACAGGCGGCCCTGGGCATCGCCACGCTGCTCCTCCAGCAGAGCTGCACCCACCTGCTACGGTTTGAGCGGTGGTGCAGCCGGGTCGGGGCAGGGCGCAGCCTGCAGGAGGACCTGGATGACTTCCTGCCCCTCGTCCACGTGTACCTCCAGCGCAGGCCGCGGGGGCACTTGGCGTGCCCGGCAGGAGGTATGGGTCGGAACACTGGGAGCTTTGAGTTGGGGCTGAGGAGGGGAACTGCACGCCCATTTTAAACCCTGCCAGCTGGTGCCTTGGGGTGAGGCTGAGCTCCTCCAGCATCTGACCTGCCCTGGAGACCAGGGAAGGTTGAGGGAGTCTCAGCGCGCCCATCTCCCTGCCGGTTCCTGTTTTTCCTGTGTGAAGCTGCAGGATCATTCAGAGCTAAGCTCTCCCTCGTCCCTTCATACTTCTCCCCACCTGCACGGAGCACACATCACAGCAGTGCAGGTCCAGCTTTCTCTTTTCCCTGCTGGGGTTCAGATGTGACTTACTTTCTGATTACCTCAGATTTAATTCTTTTCCTGGGGAGGGTCCTAGGGATTAAACCCAGGGCTTTTACCCTGAGCTACACCCCCAGTTCTTTTCTCATTCTTCCTTTTGGGACAAAGTCTTGGTAAATTGCCCAGGCTGGATTTGAACTTGCAGTCTTCCTGCCTCAGCCTCCAGAATGCTGGGATTACTGTGGGAGTGTGTGTCCCTCACACTTTGCCTCTGCTTCGCATTGCTTTGCAGTAGTAGCAGCAGATGCTTTAAAAAGCAAGGCAGCCCTCAGGCAGGAGGCAGCTGGCCAGCGGTGGATGCCGCAGCTCTGTAGGTGCCCTGACTGTCCTGTGCTTCTGGAGAGTGAATCCGAGAGCATTCAGGGTTGGGGATTCATGATGTATGTGCTTATGGCGGGGGGCTGTGCACAGAGCCCACCAGCTTGAAGCGCATCTCGCTGGAGCGCTGACCAGCAGTCTGGGCCCTGTGTGTGTGAGCATGTAACGGCCAGCCCTGGAGGAGACTGTGCAGCAACTGCCAGTTTCACTTGCGTTGATGCTCCTGCCCAGGCCCGTTTCAAGCTGCCAGTGACATCACAGGGTCCCGGGACACGTAGCATACCGCAGGCGGCTCCTCAGTGGTTCAGGCTGGCTCACCCTACCGTTGTACACAATGACCACTGCTATGTGTCTGCCCTAGTGTCCTCCGCTGTCATTCCTGTCCTGAGGAAGGCCCTGTGGAAACGGCTCCAAGACAAGCTCCTCCGTCCTGATGGTCCCCCAGAGTCAGGGCTGCATTATGAAGTCCTGGCCCAGCTGGTCCCATTTGCCAGACCCAGAGACCTCCATGGGCTCATGAACCGTTTGCCCAGCCTGCTTCAGGCTCCGAGCAGTCACAAGAGGTAAAAGGCCAAGGTCTCCGGATACCCTCTAAGCTCCTTCTGGGTTGCTCCTTCTGGGTTGCTCCTTGGTCTTGATAAAGCAAGGTAGTTGAAGAGGCTTGTGTTCTGTTGTGCTGTGTGTGGGAAGGCAGTTAGGATGAGAACTCTTCTTCCACCCGTCCCGGCTGGAGCGAGGACATCTCCGAGAGGGGACAGCTAGTCTGAGTTGTTCTCAGGGTGTGTGGTTTCTGCAGACATGGCTGGCCGTGTCTGAGTTTGGTTATTGTCATGGCTGAGACGTGGGGCGTGGTTCTGGCATCCAGAGAATGGAGGTGGCTAGGTGCCACCCTCCACAGGAAAGGATTGTCTGTCTCCAGATGGCTCTCGCGCTAGGGTGGAGAGGCCCTGATCTAGACAGGCTGGGCGTGCACACCTTTTCCCTGGTGTGCTGATGCTGCTGGCCCTGAGCATTCTGGGGCCTCTTCGATGTGTGAATAAGCGCTGGGAGGAGCCTGTGGGTCCCGAACAGACAGACTGAGGAGCAGGACTAGGGGCCACTGTCCCATCCAGGCCTTTGCAATGTTGGAGGGGAGCCTCCCCCTAACTCTGCGACTCTGGTCTCCTGCTGCAGTTGGATCGTGGCAGACTCGGTCTCAGCAGCCCTGGAGGGGTCAGTGGGAGAGCTGGGCGCCTGGAGGAAGACCCTCCTGCAGTCCTGCGTGCAGTGGCTGGTCGTGTCCTTCAGTGGCAGCCAGCCGGGCGATGACAGCGCTCAGGACCAAGAGAAGCAGATGCTGCTCAGACTAAGCGAGTTCTTGGTAGGTGTCTTTCCCTAGAGATCCTGGTTATGTTTTCAAGGACAGCCAGCTGGACAAACCCAGCTTTCCGGATACATTTCCAGCCGTTTGACATGAAGATGACCCAGTAGGAAATGAGACGGGTTGTGTCTAGGGGCAGAGTGGGGAGTCAGGCAACCCCTGAACTAGCCTGCCTTTCAAGGACAGAGGCTGCTTTTAGTCAGATTCTTTACTGAGATGTTACATAAGGTCTTGTTGATTAGTCTATTGATAAGGTGAATTATGTTAATTGATTTTTTGGTCGTTATTGGTACCAGGAATCGAACTCAGGACCTCACGCTTGCCAGGCAGGCGCTGTGCCACTGAGCTATACCCCCGGCCCAATTGATTGTTGAATGTTAAGCCAATCTTACATTTTTGGGACAATCTTACTTGATCATGATGTGTTTTCTTTTTTATATATTGTTCGATTTGATTTGCTATTATTTTGTTAAGAATGTTTCCTTCTTGGGGCTGGGGATTTAGCTCAGCGGCAAAAGCGCCTGCCTGGCAAGCGCAAGGTCGTGAGTTCGGTTCCCAGCACCGGAGAAAAACAAAAAAAAAAGAATGTTTGCTTCTGTGTACATGAAGGATATTTATGTTTTTTTTTAAATCTGTGATGTCTTTGATGTCTAATGCTGGCCTCAGAATGAGTGGGAGTATTTTAAAGATGTTGCTTTACTGTCTTCTGGCTTTCTTCGTTTCCAATAAGAAATCTGTCATCCTTTTTTTTTTGTTTGTTTTGTTTTCCAGTACTGGGCATCGAACTCACGACCTCACGCTTGCCAGGCAGGCGCTGTGCCACTGAGCTAAATCTCCAGCCCTGTCGTTCTTATTTTTGCCCTTCTATATGTTTGATGGTGCTGGGGATTGAGCGCAGGGTCTTGTACATGTTAGGCAGGTGTTCTGCCTCTGTAAAAACCTGGCTCAGGGTTTTATTTTTAAGCCTGGTTTAAAGCTATTTGGATATAATGCACCTTAGTGCAGGTTTTTTCTTCAAGTTGTTTGCAGTTGGGGTTCAGTGATCTGCCTGATCTGTGGGTTGATAGTTTCTATAAAGTTTAGAAATACTTGGCCATTGTGTCTTTTTCTAGTAAAGTGTCATCTCTTCAAAATGTTGTATTTTTGCACAGAAGTAATTAGCTAAAGATAAACTAAGTGTGTAACCTCCTTATCTCACAGTGTAAAAGTTCATTAGTAGTCCTAGAATCTGTGACTTACATTTAACCCTGAACCCAAGACTTAAAGTAGTCCTGGGGAAAATAACTCCAGGTAATGAACAAGTGTATGCAAAACACTTGCAGATCATAGACCACGCTGTGTGCTTGTTTACTTTAAGTTTTATAAACCTGTACTTTTAGACTTACTGTGCTGTGTAACAGGTTTATGGATTTAACATGCATAAGAACCCAGTCATGGCAGAACTGAGAGAGGGGAAGATTGTGCCTGAGACCTAGAGACCTGGGCTGTGGAGGTGGATGGGGGACCCTTGGGGATGCTCCTGCCTGGTTTCATGGGTAACACCTCTGCCTGACCACATGGCTTGTTCATCAGGTGACAGTTGATGTTGTGTTAAGGATTGGCCTCCCTCTCCATCCCTTCTGTTTAATTGAGGTATAGTTTACATATTGTGAAATACAGTATTTAACTATGTATTAGTTCATGTTTTCCTTAAACCACACCGTCTTGTCCAAGATTTTCATTTCAGAAAGTTCCTTGTGCTTCTTCTCAGAATCCCCTTTGCTCCAAGGCAACTGCTCTTTTGAGTTCTGTCGCCATTAGGTTATTGTTCCCATTTTAGACCCTCCACAGACCCCTGCAGTATAGTCATGCTCTTTTGTGCGTTCCAGTTAAGTCAGGCCCTCCAGACTCAGCTGTTGTAGGAATAAGTAGTTTACTACTTTCATTGCTGAGTAGTCCTCCACTGTTTGAATTTGAACTCCTCGTCTTTCCAACCCCGTGAAAATTTGGAAATATTGTGGTTTTATGATTATAAAGCTAGCAAACATATACGTTAGAAATATAAGTAATGCAGAAAATATAAAGAAAATAAAAATTTCATATCACCTAGAAGCCATCCCATGGTAAGAGGGTGAGCGTACTTCCAGGAATCTTGCTGTATTTTGCTGCATGCCTGTGGCGGGGGAGGGGAAGATAAAGCTAAGTGTAATTTTATGAACTAATGGGATCATGCTATGCAAGCTGTGTGTAGCTGGGTGTGGGTATTTGTTTGATATTGTTTTTAACACAATACTGTATTTTGAGATTTGTTTATCTCCACACCTGTTACTGGACTTCCTTGACTTGGTAGTTGTGCCGTGGTCTCCTCCTGAGGAGATGGACAGGTATCACTGGACCAGTGGGTGGCTTTCTGGGTTTTTGCTCTTATAAAGACTGCTGTGATGAGTAGCGTATGGCCCGTCTTCACACCCTGACCGGTTACTCCAAGGGAGTTCCTGAAGGAGCCTTGCTGGAGCACTAAGAGTGTGCGGGGTTGGAGCTGACTGCACTGGGGTTCCCTCCCAGTCCTGGTGCTGAGGTGCTGCTGCTCGGCCGCCTGGGGGAGGCAGCAGCGGAGGGCAGGTGCTGTCCTGAGCAGTCTCTCGATTGCCCCTGTGACCTGGGGGCTGGGCAGCGGTGGTTCATGAGTGGTTCTCATTGGCTGGTTCATAAAGGGCTAATTGCAGATCCGTTAGTGCTGTCAGGAAACATCCTCTTGCCCGCTTGGTGAGCACAGCTATGCTACAAAGTGTCAGAGCTACTAGGAGAAGTAACCAATCTCTTTAAAGTTCAAAAAAACCCCACACACCAAAACACTGCCTGCTGTTGCGTGTTATTTGGGTAACTTTCCTCCTTCTTTTCTTGTGTGCTAATGTCAGTCAGAACCACTGGCATGCTACCAGTGAGCCATGTCCCCAGCCCTTTTAAAATACTGTATTCTGAGACAGGAGCTCACTGAGTTGTCTGCACAGGACTTGAACTTTTGCTCCTCCTGCCTTAGTGTTCCAAAGTGCTGGGATTACAGTCATGCCCATTGTTTCTGCTGGCTGTGTTTCTGAATGGCTGTAACTTCAGTTCCATAGTCTACATTTTAGTTTTTGTTTTAAGGTCAGTCTCTGCCCCGTGAGGTTAGTCAGGCTGTGTCGTGCTCATCAGGAGTGGAGCAGAGGAGCTGCTGGGCAGGATCACAGCCTGGAGCCCCGCAGGTGGGGTAGAGCTCTGTTTCTCAAGCCATGGGCCAAGTGTCTCACTGAGGAGGAATCAGACCGAGAGAGGGGCAGATGCTTTCCTGAAGGTTGAACAGCTGGTACCTTTTGGTACTTGGAAAAGGCATTGAGGTGTCTCATGTGTGCTTCTTGCTTTATTCATAGCGTGCACTTAATGACATTGATCCTGGTGATTGGCAGAAATTCATGAAGATTGGACTCAAGTAAGTATATTTTATTTTCTTGGTCCATCCACAAAGGTGTGAACGCCGGTGATCATGCAGAGCCCCTTTTGTAGCTTGTCGTTACTATACACATGGCAGAGCCAGGTGCCACCTCAATTTTGAGGTGGAGGATGCGGACTGTTGGACGTGTTAAATGATTTGCCTAGCGACACCCAGCGTGCTTATGATAGTGAAGAGAGGGGCAGTGTTTTAAAAAATGGAATATTTTAAAAATACAGAAATATGCGGAGAAGAATTGCAGCATCCAGGTTTGGTCATCACTGACCGTTTTCCATATTTGTCTGAATTCATTCTCACCGCCCATCTGCCCCACTGGACATTGCCACCTTTGGAGGCTGTGCTTTGTCTTGTGCGTGTACATTTTGTGTTTCATACTTTATATGTTGTATGCTTCACCAATATTACTTAGTGTGTTTAAATTTGTAGACAGATGCAGTATTCCTTATATAGCCTTGATTTCACTCAGAGGTTTCTGACTTACCCGCATCGATACATGCGGATTAATTCATTTTCCCTCCGTGTAACGTTCCGTCTTTGGACTGCACCAGCTTACCTGGCCAGTCCTCCACTGGAAGACGTGTAGGCCAACGCCCTGAGCCTCTTGCTTACAGTCTTGGGGTGACTGTCCCGTGTCTCTGGAGCATGATACAGCAGCTGTGACACTGTGTCAGTGGGAGGATCCAGAGGATGGGCGTGTGGATGGATGTCCACTTCAAGTCTCAAGTTGTACTGTTCGGAAACTTCTTTCAGAAAAATCCGAGAATAAAAAATTGTCTCTTTGTGTCCCGTGAAATAAACTTCCGTTTCGTGAAGCTCCTTCCCTTTGGCTCTTGCCTCCCCCTCAGGTTTCGGTATCAGGACCACACCTTTTTGAAGACCCTCCACGCCGCCCTGCAGCTCCTGTACGGCCCAGAGAGCCCCGTGCGCGCCGCGCTCGTGCCGCTCCGCACAGCGCACATGATGCTCACCCAGCACTCGCTGTTCCTGCCCAGCCTGCTCGCGGCCGAGGGAGGGGAGAACCCGGACAGTGACGTGAAAGGTGCCGCCTCACCCGCCCTCCCAGTTCAGCTCAGCTTTTACTTCCTGGTTTCAGAGCTAAGCGAGCACTGGCAAAGCTGTCTGATTTCTGTCAGGTCCAGGGTCAAGAAACACCTGTGCCTTCAGTCACACAGCGCTGTAGACCTGTTCTGAAGGCCTTGTCCCGCTCACAGAGATCGTGTCGGGGATCTTTTTGCCAGTCAGGTTCCGGTGCTGTAGTCTGGGAGTTAGACGCGGTTAGGAGGATGGGGAAACAAGTGTGGGTTCTGACCAGGGAGGAGTTGATAAGTTGCTCAGATTTTCATAGTGGGATGATTGACATGGATCAAGCGACAAGGCTTCGAACTTGCCTTTTGGCATCCACTGCTCTGGATCGCTCCCATCCCTGATTCCAGGAGCATCTATCCTACTTCCCAGGCATCCCCAGCGTGGTGGGGGCTGTGGGGGATGTCAGGGAAGGTGGTCTGCAGGTCGCTGTCCCCGTGAAGGCACAGGCTGCGTATAGAGACAGTCAGCACCCCCAAACCAACAGAAATCACACAGGGGCTGGGTGGAAGACGACCCTTGCCCAAATGACTGCCGTGGGTAGTAGAGAAGGTACAAAGGGCTCTGCCCTCTGTTCGTGTAGGAGGAGAAGGAGTAAGGATTTTGATAGCATAATCACGGGAGAAATGCCTAAACTGAAAAGTCTCAGGTGGCTTAAATTTGGGAGAGGGTGTGAGCAGACTGAGCTTCAGGTTGGTCGAAGACCTAGAGACACAGTGATTGTGCACGTGCGTTTTTTTTAAAAATATCTAAGAATGGGGAAAGGACTAGGTGGAGGCCCCAAGACCACTGCTGATCAGAGAAGGATACTCCAGCACGTGAGCGTTCCTGGACCCCTCCCTCACCTTACCCCAAGTGTGTACATTCCCTGCGGAGCTGCTAATCTAGTGTCATCCTTTCCAGAAGCCCTGGTGGACCTGATGGCAACAGTGGTGAGGCTGTGCCCCTCTGTCTGCGAGAGTAGCCACTTCGCAGTGCTGCTCGGGGCCTATGGAGCCACCCTCAGCACCCTGGGTGAGGTGTGAGGGTTGAGCGCATGGCGGGGTGCGGGGGTGAGGGCTGAGGATGGGTGGAGGGCACCCTTCATGTGTCAGGGGCTCAGCCCCCTAACATGACCGTCATTGGACTTCTAGACCAGAAGATCTTACTTCTCCTCCGGGCGTATGAACAGAACAAGCTCAGCCTCATCAGCTTCCGGTGAGGGTTGGCGCTGCAGGTGGGCGGGGACGGGTCGGCAGAGAGGGCATCAGCCCTAATGGTGCATCCTGTCCCTCTGCAGAGTGAGCTGCAGACCCCAGAGTTTTCTCATTTGTTTTGGATTCTCAGGACAAGGGCGGCAGGCACAGAGGTCTCCTAGCTCTTGCGCAGCCCGAGGATAGCTGCTCAGGAGAGACGTGGCCTTTCAGTGTAAGGCGAGGTCTGGACAGCCGCCCCTGCTGGCTGACAGGAGCCTGTCTCTGGAGGAGCTGCCCCCGGCACTCCTGGCTGGGAGATCTCACGGGGCTGGTTTTTCTGAGAACCTGTCTCCCTTTACTGTAAATGGAGTGACATGATGCGGGGCTTGCAGAAGAGAGAGGAAGGCTGAACGTGAAATCGAGTTTCTCCTGTCGGCACATGTGTGCCTGGGCTCCTGTCTCTGCTTCTCTCTTCCGTCGTTCCTGTCTGTCCCGGCTCCAGCAGGCTCGTTGCCACGCCCTTGTTCTGCCCAGTGCTGTCTTCAGGGGCATCATGCTGCTCCCTGGGGACCCTGCCCCATCTCTGCAGGTGCCGGGCCGAGCAGGAAGTGGCCGAGTGTGCGCTTGATAGAAAGCATTGTTGGATTCTCTCTGTTGCCCTGGAGTCTTCTTTTCTCCTCCTCATTTGGAAGCAGCACCCTCCTGCTTGCCCAGGACGTGCATAATGACAGCCTTGTGTGCTCAGACAGGACGTGAGCTGATCAGGCCAAGAGAGTGCAGGAGAGCGCTGCAGAGAACAGAAAACATTTTCCTTTTAGAGCCCCTTGTTCAAAGCTAAAAGCTGAATTAGCCCAGAGGAAAGGGAGAAAAAAGGAAATGGAAGCATTCTTTATCATTTAAGAATGGCAGGACAGGAACCATGGTGTAGGCCTGTGATCCCAGCACTCTGGGAGGCTGTGGCAGGAGGATCATTAGTTTGAGCCCAGCCTGGGCAACTTAGTGACTTAGTGAGACCCTGTCTCAGAATGAAAAACAAAAACGGGGGGTGGTGGGGATTTAATTTAACTTGGTGCGAAGAGCCCAGGTAGTGCCCAGTACTGAAAAAGGAGTGGCCAGGTCTTGGGTAGATGTTGTCCATCCTTGTGCACTGGCCTTTCCGTCCTGTTGTTGGCTAAGGGAGGTTGCCCAGAAAGTGAACGGCCGGCTTTGCTCAGGAAAGGAGTCTCACACAGCTCCCGCCAGAGGAGGGTGCGGAGCTCATGCGTATCCCAGCCTCACGATGTCACGCAGCCCCTGGGGACAGGGCTGGCCTGAGCACAGAGCCCCGCCTGGCTGACGGGAGCCCAGCACAGCAGCGAGCCCCTGCCTGAGAGTGATTCTTTACTTTCTAACTTCGGTGACTGTTGTTCACTTGCACAGAAAGGAGTCTGTATCTAGAAGAGTCCTGTTTGAAGTACTAAATAAGTAGCAGCGAGCAGGCAGACAAGTCTGAGCAGGAGGTGGCCTCCTCAGCAGGGCTGTGGGTGGCACCCTGGCAGTAGTGAGGTGGGCGGGCGAGGAAGGAGAAGAATGGGGAGGGAGAGAAGCCCAGGCGTTTCTCCGCTGCCGTGGGCCTTGCCGCGTGGCATACACGCGGTAGGCTTTTGAGGTGGGGCTGTGCTGGCGGCCTGGCTCATTGGTGGCGTCCTGCGGGCAGGGAGAGGTGTGATTCTGCATCTGGCCCAGCACGGACTCTGGAGCCAGACTCCCCAGGTTTGAGTGTGGTCCTCACTTGCCTGCTGGGTGGGTGAGCAGCCAAGTAACTGCCCTCATGGTCCCCACATCGCTACCCTCTTCACACAAGAGACCTGATGGAGTTGTGCAGATCGTGTGGATCAGCACACCAAAGGACTTGGGGCAGCGCCAGGCACGGCCTCTGCCATCACCACCAGCACAGCCGCTGCGCCTCAGCATCTCTCCCACCACCACCCTCCTCGGGAGCTGAGACAGCGTGGGGTGCTGGGCAGGGGCGCTCGCCTGGGGCAGTGCCTGGCGTGAGCCAGCAGCTCGGCCGGTGCTCCCTGTTGTGGTTGTCATCGTTGTCGTCGTCGCTGATTCTGGGCCCCTGTGACGGGTCTGTCCACTCGTTCGGCTCTAGGGTGCTGCTGTGGGGCCCGGCGGCCGTGGAGCATCACAAGACGTGCCGGAGCCTTGGCAAGTCCCTGTGGCAGCAGCCGAGCGTCGCCGACATCCTCTGCCTGCTGGACCGGGACCGCATGCTGCAGACCATCCTGCACTTCCCCCAGAGGCGGCGGCTGCTGCCCCCTGAGGTACGGCCGCTGTCTGCCCCTGCTTCCAGGCTGGGCCTGCTCCCTGGGTGTCTCGTTGACTTTTTATGACGTAGAATCCCAGCCCCGCATGGAGGTACAGTGTGTCCTTGTTCTCGCCCCCCAGCTTCAGCCGTTGTCACGCTGCTCTCTTACTTCATCTATTACTCCTCCCTCCCCTTGCAAAGACTTACTTCAGGTGAAACCCAAAGACTGTATTTCACATACAAGCACTTTCTTGTTTTTTTTTTTGTTTTTTTGGGGGGTGGTTTTCTCCGGTACCAGGAACCGAACTCACGACCTTGCGCTTGCCAGGCAGGCGCTTTTGCCACTGAGCTAAATCCCCAGCCCCTACAAGCACTTTCTATAGAGCCATTTTCTCCCCATGGCCTTACCCTGAGCTGTATCTCCAGCCCTTTCTTATTTATTACTTTGAGACAGGGTCTCAGTCACTAAGTTGCCTAGGCTGGGCAAAAATGTTTGATCCTCCTGTGTCAGCCTCCCACAGTGGTGTGCCCCCGCTTGGCTTAGAGCTACTTTTATTTTATGCTCTTTTTTTTTTTTTTTGGTTTTTCTCCGGTACCGGGAACCGAACTCACGACCTTGCGCTTGCCAGGCAGGCGCTTTTGCCGCATATTTTATGCTCTTAAATAGTGAAAATAATTTGAGTTCCAATGGTAGTGGGTTTGCATTTGCATGTTTTGCATTTGTGAAATTGACTCGCACCATTGTTGTGGTTGTAAATATTTCAGGATGCCCAGGAGGTGATATTTAAAGACCAGAGCATGAGAGTGGATCCCAACGGCCTGTACGACCCCTGCTTTCTCCTTCATCTCTTCGGGGAACTGACCAGGCCGGGTAAGCACCGCCTCCCTGCAGGAGTCATCCGCTGCTGGGGGTTCGGGCAGGAGAGGATGGGGATGGTCACCATGACAGCCAGAGTGGGGCCTGAATCTTGAAACTCATTCCTTCAGGGTCTTCATCCTCCCTTTACATTTTTACCCCAGTGATTGTCAGCAAAGTCAGAGTTCATGTTTTGAATATTTAGCAATTTTGTTTTCATGATTTGAATATATAGCAATTTTTTTTAAAATCCATAATCTTAAAGTCTAAGAGCGTCTATCTGTCGTTGAGGTCTTCCCAATTCCCAGTGACAACATGATAGGAATGGGAACAAGAGTCTTGGTACTTGGGGAAGAGTCCGAGACTGCCGAGGGCAGCCTTTTCTTGCTGAAAGTACGTGCTGAGGCTGCTTTTTGTCCAGTGCCCAGGGCTGGGGTCTCAGTGGGCGAGTGAGAGTGAAAGCGTGCACGTGCACCTCAGTCCCCTCTTATCCGAGGGACGTGTTTCCCGAGACCCCACATGAGTGCCTGAAGCAGCAAATAGCCCTGAGCTCTGGGTGCATGTGTCTTCTTTTCACCCAGACCTCGGATAAATTACAGTGAGAGAGGAGCAATAGCTTACCGCAGATTTTCGGCATAGAGTTTTTTCTGTTAAGAACTTTCACCTTTTTCACTCAGAGGAAGCCCTTTACGGCTTCACTTCGACATGTCCAGCGTTACTTTTCTCACACTGCGGGACCGTCCTATAGAGTGTGAACACAGGTGCTGCCATCCAAGACAGTCAGTCTGGTAAACACGCCGTGCACCAAGTGAGGCCCGGGAACCCTGGACAGAGGGGTGGTGACTCCCTTCCTGGGCCTGACGCTTGGCATTGAATCTGAGTACTCAGAACAGCATACCGTCTAGCTATGAATTGTTTATTTCTGCAATACTGTGTTTAAAGTTCTCAGACAGTAGCTGATGGCAGGTAACTGAAATCATGGGAGGTGAAACTAAATAAATGGGGGCAAACTGCATGTATTAGCAAGACGAAGTTATCGTTCCACATTAAAGAGACTCACAGAGTCTCTTTTTGGTGAAATGTGTGCTCATGTGTTGGGGCTTTTCCTACTGAGATTCTGTATTTTCCTGTGAGCTTTGAGGGTTTTTTATGGATTCCAGATATAGCACTAATCCCTGGAAGGATAGGAAGGTCACGTTCTGCCTGTAGCTTGTCTCTTCACGCTTTTGCACAGAGCAAAAGCTTTTACTAAAAGTTTCGTGCTTGTAAGTTGGCAATACATTCATGCTTGTTCCCGTGTGAGGTGTGGGGCTGAGGGCCAGGCTCATTAGTTGGCTGGGCTGCCTAATTGTTTCGGGCCACACTTGTTGAAAAGGCCCTGGGCGGTGAGCTTTCCTAGCTGAGAGGGTTGAGGTGGCTGTAACTGACGCCGGGCAGCTGGGCAGTGGTGAAAGTCCTTGCCGTCCCCGGGGTTTCCTCCGACACCCCACTGGGGATCAGCAGAGTGCTGTTACTGTGCAGTGGGGTGACAGCATTATCTCACAGGGACGTGGGGCTCCCCCTTACAGCCTGGTGGGGTGGGGGTCTGCGTGTCGTGTCCGCCTTGGCTGGATGGCAGGAGGGTCTGCAGTAACATGTTTGCCGTCTGAAGGGTTTCTGTCGTGCTAGACTGGCCCTTTCCAGTCTGGGCTGAGAGCAGGTTCTGGGAGCTGTGCCTGCTGGTGTTTGTGTCGATGGTTTCTTTCGCTTCAGCTCTGGAACACAGGACACCAAAGGACAGCCCAGGAACTCCCCTTCTTGCCCCTTTTTTGGTCTTGAGGCCTTGAGCTGTTCTGCTTTCTCCCTTTCAGTCATCTTGGGTTTATTTTCTGTAAAACATTCAAGACCCTCAGTTGTGCGGGGCGTGGTGACACACGCCTGTAGTCCTCAGTGGGAGGCTGAGGCAAGAGGATCACTGTGAGTTCGAGACCAACCTGGGCTACATAATGAGTTCAAGGCCAGCCTGAATTACATGGTGAGACCCTGTCTCAACAGCCCCCCACAATGTCCCTAGTTGTACTTAATAGGAAAAGTAGGGAAAAGTATGCCTAGCCTACCTTAGCAGACCTGGCAATCTCATTTAACTAGTTTTAGCTCCTAATAACTTAGGTGGTGCTAAGGTTTCATGGTGAAAATCTCCTCCCCTCACCTCTGGCCATGGCATCCTCGCTCTGGAGAAAGGTGTTTCACCAGTCCCTGGTTACCGCTGCGATCCGCCTTGCTTTCACAGGCCTCTGAGTCCTGCTGGACCTATGAGAAAGGGCTCTTGGAGTGGACATGGCGGGGCCTCGAAAGCGGGTTTGACTTCTGTGACCCGTGGCACAGCCCAAGTGATACGCGTAGACAGGGCTCCTTTGCATGGGCCTCCCAGGCTGTGTGTTTAGGTGGACCCGGGAGCCCACGTCCACTGCGTGTCCTCCCTTTTAAAACTTGACATTTTCTTTTTCTATAGCAGTGCCCCTACTTATGAACAAATGTGCTGCACTTCTGCCACTGCCCTTTATATCCTTTCAGAAGGATCAAAGAGGGCTGGCTTTCCACGGAGACTTCGCATCAGTGGCCTTTTGTGCTGGTGCGAGCTCCCTGGATGCTCTGTGGCTGAAGTTGGATTTTATTTGGAAGAGAGCAGAGGGCGTGTTATACGCAGGTCAGCTGTGCTAATAGCAGGCTGGCACCTTAATTGCCCTGGTAACCACGAGCAGCAGGTGAACCGAGGCAGGTCCACTAGTCTGTGGCCAGGACTTCTGATTACCCTGGGCCTTGGCAGTGCTGGCTAAGTCTGTTCTTCATCAAACACGAAAATAAATGCTCCACAGGCTAAAAATGCAGTATGAGGTTCCTGGCCATTGTAACTCAGGTGAATTATAACAAGTCATTTAGTGTCTTCCTCTGTCTCACGGTGGAGCTTTTAGAAGACAGAGGCAGTGGCTTGGAAAATACTTAATAGTAAAATCAGGAGGATAGTCTCCACAAAATCTTGAATGCTGTACTTTTTCTTCTTGTTCAGAGCCTAGGAAGCTTTTTGTGATGAGAGGTGACTGGTAAATGATTTCTTAAATCAGGGAAGTATATTGTCGCTGTTCCCTTTACCTTAAATCTCCCAGAATGGCCTATTTTAAGTCTTACTGGTATAGGGCAGTTTTTTTTTTAAATGCAAAATACAACTACCCTCATCTTTAAAAGAGTTTTTCGGTTTTGTTTTGTTTTGATAGCTGAGAACACTGGTGACATCAAAAATTCACACTGAAGTAGAACATTTCAAAACCATAGAAGTGGAGAGGAAAGTATAGTAGGTGTGCCAAAACCAACACACACACACACACACATGCATGCACACACACGTAGGGTTCTTAGGTGTTACTCATGGCTTTTTGTCCTGAACAAAAAGTAGAAGTCTGGTATTTTAAACAAATTACACCGTCCGCTGAAAAGCAGCACATCAGTCCATCAGAAGATAATGGCTACCGTGCTGAAATGAATTAAAGGTGACATACAGAAAAGTGCTCAAATTATGTTTACTCGGGTTGAGTTTGGGGTCCAGCTTCTCGAGGAACAGTGTGGTTGATGCCCCTCAGCCCCTGGGGGCTGTTTATTTGAATTTCTGGCAAGTGGCATCATACACGATGCATTCTCTGGTGCCAGGCTTCCCTCTGCCCTTGTGAGGTGCACATATGCTGTGGATGGCAGAGGGTTCCCAGGGAGAGTCTCTGCTCCCGCCTGGCCTGGGTACTGCTAACCTCCCTGCAGTCCCCAGCAGGCGGGTCCCTAGTTTGTGTGTGTGCTGTCCTCGGAGAAACTACGCCTCACGGCTCCATTTTCAACCCTTTGTTGAAAGTGGATTCCTGTTTTCTTAACCTTGCTGCTGCCCTTCTTGGAGTCCTTGGCCAAGAAATGGGAGCAGGCTTAGCTGGCGGCAAGGGCAGTGATGAATGCTTTTTCCACAGCAAATTCTTACCCTCAGTTGAACAGGGCTCTGACCTCTAGCGCACAATTGACATTGCCGTAGAGAGCCAGGACAGGAAGGGCCATGTGTGTTCTGAGCCTAGCTGCACTGGCCCTGTGGGCTCTTTGCACTCTGTTGAGCGCTGCCTGGCAGTTCCTATCTCACGCTGTTGAGAAGAGACTGGAGGAAGACTTCTGGTGCCGCAGGAGCACTGAGCACTGTGTGAAAACCCACTGAAGCCACGGGGCTTTGATTTTAATCCTTGCTAATTGTCCTGGCGGAGCCATTTCAACCTGACGGTCTGTTACCAGAAACCAAATTGCTATTCATGAGGTCCTTAAAACAGAATGGCATTCATAATGATTGTTAAGTAGCCTATTACATTTTCAGCTTGCCAGGGGCAGCAGGCAGCTCTTTTCCATAAATGTTGCCGAGCCAGGCCTTCCGTAGAGTAGCAGATGTGAAACATAAAATTGAATTTTCCTCATGGACCATGGAAAATTCAGTTGTCTTAGAATGTCATTGATTACTACAAATAACCCCAGCCAGCTGAGTACTGGCTCTTTTTAGTGAGTGTAATACTAAGTGTTAAGCTATTTTCTCTCTCAAATATATTCTCCTTGTGTGCATTTGTTATGTATATGTGTGTGTGTGTGTTTTAAACACAATTGCTGGGCATGGTGACACATGCCTGGACTCCCAAGGCTGAGGCAGGAGGATCACTGCAAGTTCGAGGCCAGGCTGGGCTACGTAGTGAACCTAAGGCCAGCCTGAACTACACAGTGAGACTTTGTCTCAATCAGTAATAAATGCATCTCTTTTCCCACACAATATAATCATACCAACAGTTGGATGCTTTTAAAGCTTTTGGGCTCTTTTTCCCTATCCTAAAAAATGGCTTATAAGAAAATTGAGTCTATAAGTTGATTGTTCTTTCTCAAGTCTTCCACTTTTAATCTTTTTTGGTATTAAAAGTAGACTTCAGGTAGGCAGCATATACTTGAAATTTGCTTTTTATCTAATATGATCGATCATGTCTGCCTCTTTTTTTTCTTTAGCATCTCTGCTGTCTAATTGAAGCATTGTATATACCATTTACATTTAATGTGATTATTGATCTGACTCCATTTTATCCTCTGTGCTCTTTTTGTCTTTTTATCTAAAACTGTGTGTATATGCTTCTTTAGTGGTTGTTTTAGGGTTTATAGCATACATCTTCAAGGTATCACTGATTGCCCTTCCAGTGAGATGATTCTACTTTATGCATAGTGTAAGAATTTTATCAAAGTATAGTTCTACCTCTTTCTTCCTGGCTTTTGTGCTGTTCTTATCATACATTTTACTTTAGAAAACCTCGCAATATGTTACTTTTGCTTCACATTTTTAAAGAGATTTAAATATTTCATATTTACCATATACTGGGCATTTTTTGTTCTCTCTTTTTTGTATGTGGTGTGATCAAAAAATACAGTGAATGGGGGTTTTTCCGTTTTGTTTTATTACAGTAAACGATGAATTGCCATAAATCTCTCAAAATATTTGCTCTTGATTCAAACACACTTATCCCATTGTTCTTGCCTCTCTCTGAAGCAGTTCTGGAGTCTTCTTTTGTGTCTTTAGTTACACTGCCTTGGCTGCCATGGTGTCTAAATCAATTCAAAGCATTTACCTTTTGTGGTCACTTTGACTCTGGGGGAGAGCCAGGAGTCACACTGTGCCAGATCTGGTGAGCAAGGTGGAGAGGACGCAGTATGTTTCCACAAGCTTGCTTTTCCATTGGGTAGCACTCAGCAGCAGCAGTCACTGGATTTTTGATCATGCCTCATAAAGATACTTGGGAAAGAGGAGTTAATGGCAACGTGTCATTTATTGTGCACAGCTTTTAAAACTTTAAGCATTCACCATGTTTATTTTGATCACGCCTCATGGGTCAAGATCTCTCTTTTGTAGCATTTTCCTTCTGTCTGAGATACTTCCATTAAGAATCCTCACAGTTCAGTGGGCCTAGATTCTTATGAAAGAGGAGTTGAAGTTTTCCAGCTTTCATGAGTGAAAACAAACCCTTTAAGTTATGGTGCTGGGCGCTGCGGCACAAGCTTGTAATCCCAGCACTGGGAAGGCTGAAGCAAACATGGATTGCCGTGAGTGTGACGCCAGCCTGGGCTGTGTAAGCAGTTCAAGGCCAGACTGAACTATGAAGCAAGACCCTGTCTCAGAAAACAAAAAACCTTGTGGTAAGTTTGGCTCCTGACTCCCCGCGAGTCTCAGCCCAGTGTCTGACCTTCTCGCTCAGTCGCCTTCTCTCCTGGCGCAGCTGGGAAGGTCTCGAGGCCTCGAAGTGACAAGTGGATGTCAGCCGCAGGCTCTTTTCCCTGTAGCTTTTGCTCCAGCTTGGCGAGCCACTCTTTGAGAGATTTGTGAACGAGGTTTGCAGAGTAGATGCAGGTCCATCTTTTGTGAAGTGCATCGCCTGGGTCTGCCTGCTGTGCAGTGGCGGCGTTTCTCAGCTTGCACTCTGTCCTGAGATCTCTGTGGTGCTCGTGCACAGGATTCCCAGGGCAGTGGGCCAGGCAGGGCAGAAGCTGGGCGCCCGTTTCTCCGCTGACTGCCAGCTGTGGCCCCGGGCTTCGGGCTGCTGAGATCTCAGTAGTGGGCCTCCATGTCGCCCCTGTTCTTGTCCAGCTTGTTGCATGTTGGTGAAAGGTAATGAAATAGACCCAGGGCTTTAGAAACTGAAGGAATCATAACTGTTGCCAAAGAAGGGGAGAGAGTCTGTCCAACCTCAGCAGCAGCTGGGGCGCCAAAGAAACTAAGTGTTCCTTGTGTCTGGCACAAGTCGCTGCTATTGGTAGGATGCAGAAGGAGACTGAATTCTCCAAGTTGCCCAAGAGCCGTGAAGTCTTACTGTGTGTTTAACAGTGTGCTTTACTTCTGGTAGAATTTGTGGTGGATTGTCGAAAATTCTTGGATTCAAATGCTCTGGGCCTTACTCTTGCGGCCCTCAGCAGCTACGACCCCCAGCTGCGAGCAGCGGCCTACTCTGTCCTGGCAGCCTTCTACTCACACCTGGAGGGAGCTCGTTTCCGGGAGCGGCCCCAGGTGAGTGGGAAGGGGCAGCCGCTGGGGTGACTGGCCTGGTGGGAGGAGATCGCGGAGCGGGGAGCTGGCATGTTGCTGGGAGATTGAGTCTGTTCCCCTTGGCCAGGGACGCAGAGGTTGCCTTTGACCCTGCACTCCCGGGGAGCTGAGGTGGGTTTCCCCTTCCAAACTCTTCTTGCGGGCAGACAAAGAGTTTCGCTGCTGTTGATCACTTGACCTAAACTCAGGGCCGTGCCTGGAGGAGGTAGGGGAAGAAGAGTAGGTCGGGTTCAGGGCATAGTGCCAGGCTGTATCTGCCATTGGACACAAGTCTCCCCCCTTGAAGAAAAATAAGACCCAAGAAGCATCCCTGGGGTGGCGACATGCGTGGTGTCCTCCACTCTGAGCTGATCGCTTGTGTCCTTGGGATGGGAGGAGCAGGCACCTTCGTAGCTGTGGCTCAGCTGCACGAGGCAGGGTGGTCACAGTTCTGAAAATACTTCTCTCCCTCCCCACGTCAGCTGCTTTACCTGTTGGATGTTGTCCGGAACGGCGTTCGGACACCGAACCTGAGACTCCCTTTCACCCTGGCCCTCTTCATCGCCAAGGTGGCCCTGCAGATTTTGAAACCAGGTACCCCCGATGTGTAGTCTGGGGGAGGGGAAACGGAAACAGAGGCTGAGCAAGTGCACTTGTAGGACTCAGAGTGCAGGTGTAACTGACCGCACGTTCCTGAGAAGTGACACGCTCGCTGCACGGGGAGCCACCACAGCACCCGGCAGTGAGGACAGCAGGCGAGGGACGGCTGTGAGGGTCACTCCTCTGTGTGTGGAAGGCGTATTTAGTGGAGAGCCCTTCGTTAGAGCGCTGTGGAACCCTGCGTGTCAGGACAGGGCTTCAGCTTCTCACCCTCAGCGGGGCAGTGTGAGGAGGAGGCGTTCATTTATCCAGGGCCTTGCTGTGGGGTTACTCAGAGAAAGTGATCGAATGTTGGTAGCATGGGGGACCTCAGGGTCCTTTAGTCTGTCACTGTCACATCTCGGGTGAGGAAACAGCCTCCCAGCAAGTTCCCCCACTCCCACCCTCCAAGTAGGTTTACTCTCATGTGCAAGATTTTGTGGTTAGTCTGTTGCTCTTAGAATTCGGATCTGATTCTCGTTGGCTCCCATATAATTTTTATTTTTTTATTTATTTATTTATTTATTTTGGCTTTTTGAGAGAGGGTCTTGCTATGCAGTTCAGGCTGGCCTTGAGCTCACTTTGTAGCCCAGGCTGGTCTCGAACTTGCAACTATCCTCCTGCCTCAGCTTCCCAAGTGCTGGGAATACAGGCATGCACAACCATGCCCAACCGACCCATATAATTTTTATTACATGGTTTTTGATGCCTTGCAAATTTGTGGAAGAAGAAAAATGAACAATCATTTGCAGACAACAGACAAGGGGGCCTATTATGAGAGATATAACAGAGCCTATGACAGTGTGACCCACCCCAGCCTGCTGTCCAGTGTGTGGCACCTGGGAATAGCTGTCCCTTCTGCCCTTGTGTTGGGTGGGCATTGTGGGCAGCAGGGATCCTGGGCTGGGCTCGGAGCTGCAACAGGAGGAGGCACCTGCCCACCTCTGCCTTCAAGAGCCAAGGCCCCAGACTTCTGAGCTTCCCTTGCTGGGACAGTCCCATTCTCTGAGAGGCTGGGGCGGGTGGGGATCCTGGGTGTGGTGTCCACGCAGCACTGTCCTGCTGAGCCACATCCAGCAGCGGACCCACGTGCAGGTCTAGCTGTACCCTAACTCTCAAGAGCTGTACCTGGCCCAGGGGCCAAAAGCTGCGCAGGCGCAGGGATCTGCGGCCTGTGCAGAAGCTGCCGGCCCCGGGCAACCTGTTGACGTCCAGTCAGTGCGACTGTTGTGTGTCCTCAGAGGAGCACATGTACTGGAAGATCAGCAAGTTCCTGCTGTCCCACGAGAGCCTGAACATGGACAAGGTGCCGGGCTTCTACCAGTTCTTCTACAGCTCTGACTTTGAGGTACGCTGCCAAAGTCCCCAAGGCCCCCGCAGACTCCTGCCCTGGATTACCCGGCCGCAGGTGCCCCTCTGGTGATGCGTCCAGCCGGCGCGGTGGCACAGGCAGAGTACAGCAAGAAGGAAGGGGCCGAGCAGTTCACGCGGGCTGTGCACAGACAGGGCTCCCGGTCATGCATTCTTCTTTACATCCCTCCCACGCCTCTGTACTGTGCGTCTGGATCCCGAGTCCTGGGCCATTCTGGTGCCTTTCCCTCCCTGGATCACTGGGGTAAACATTAACTCTCCCGTGTGGAGCACTGGCTTGGCACAGCTCGCTGCTTCAGCTCTGCTTGGCCTGCACTCCTGAGCTGAGGAGAGAGAAGCAAAGATGAGACCAACGGATTTTTATGCTGCAGCCTTTGCCCCTGCTGGAAGCTTGTGGTATTTGGAGGCTGCCGGATGAAAGGGCCTCAGCTTACTCAGCAGTGCCTTCTGATTGCAGCACAAGACTGAGCAGGAGTGGGTGCTTGGGCTTCTGCGGCAGGGGATTCGCGACAAGCAGTGCTACGAGCTGTGTGCCCGGCGGGGTGTCTTCCACATCCTCCTGGCCTTCTTCAGCAGCCCGCTGTGTGACGAAGTGGCACAGGTGAGTGGGTCCTGCAAGGCTGCCACCGAAAGATCTCTGCCCTTTCTCCTGGTTTGCTCTGAAAGTCAAATCCTTGTGATTTCTACGCCCAGGCTGGCTGTGACTCCCTACACCTGGCTTTGAACTGGGGAAATGAGGTTGTGTTAGCACCTATCCTGTTGCTTGTGCGGTGCAGGCTGACTCACGTGGACGTGGTGCTGGGACACTGAGTGTCATTTTCCTCTGGTGAAATGCTTTTCCTTGTGGTCCTCGTAACTGTGCCCTTGGCAGATAGGAAGGCCTCTCCGTTCTGCCCTCACAAGGAAGGAACTAATCAGTCATCATGAGCCTGTGGAGCAGGCCAGGGACTCAGAGCAGTTAGCCTGCACAAGTGACGCAGGTGATGTCGTGCACAGTGGCATCGGAGCTCAGCAGATGTGGGAGTTGCAGCTGCTGCTCCCCTAGTTAGTTAAGAGTCTGTGTGTCGACTGTTCCATAGAATGGGAGTCCCTGACCTGGCCACAGCAGTAAATGGTCGGTGGGCTCTTAGGAACCAGGCCCCTCAGCAGGTGAGTGAAGCGACATCTGTATTTGTAGCTGCTCCCCAGAGCTTGCATTTCTGCTGAGCTCCACCTCGTGTCAAATGAGCTGCAGCTTTGGATTCTCGTAGGAGCACAAACCCTACTGTGAACCACACATGCACAGGATCTAGGTTGCTCCTTCCTTATGAGACTCTAATCCCTAAACTACCACCCTCTCTTCTGTGGAAGAATCACTTTCTGTGAAACCATTGTCTGATGCCAGAAAGGCTGGGGACCACTGCCCTAGAATCAAGAGCCAGTGTGTTTTCTGAATGTGACAGACCTTTGGAAGAAATAAATAAATTAGGGGCAGTGGTGCATGTCTATAATCTCAGCACTCAGGAGGTAGAAGCAGGAAGATCACTGTGAGTTTGAGGCCAGCCTGGGCTACATAGTAAGACCCTGTCTCAAACTACCCACCCCCTAAAAAAGATAAATAGAAAGAAACTCTTGTATTTTGATTAATTTCTACCCCAGTCGGCTTTCATTCTGATATTATATAAAATATGGGGGAATAACAGTGAGTCAGAAATACATTTGCATACGTGGAATTTGAACATTCCATAAATTCTCAGAATTTATGGCATCCAAGAACTCCAAAGCATCCAATCAGCAGTTCGGGGGAATCCCATGATTATGACTCATTTTCCAGGTAGTGAAAATGGACAGCATGGCTGCCGGCCTCTTACTCTGGGCTAGAAAAGGGCCTGCTCTCTGAGCATGTGGTCTCTGTAATGCATCTTTGCTTATGGGTTGGTTCTGGTGGCGGGTTAGCAGACGCAGGGGTCCCTGGGCCCTTGATTGCTGAGAAAGACTTTTCTGGCTGTCATGGGCGGGAAGGGTGCTTTCCTCCACGCCCCCCACTTCGGCGAACTTAGCAAAGCGGCGTGCGTTTGTAGCCTGAACTGTAGGATCACATCATGTGTTGAAAGGGTTCTTCTGATCTAGGGAGTTCAGTTTCCCTCATCAAGGAGTGTCTTTTTGTTTTGGATTTTCAGAATTGGATTCTGGAAATTCTACAGAACATAGCCCGGGTTGCCAGATCTGCCTACGAAATCCTACGGGACTACAGTCTTCTGACGTGGATTCTGCACATCGTGGAGAGCAGGTCAGTACCTTTTGCAGGAGAGACACCTGTCAGGTGGGAAGAAGGTGGGACAGAGACCAGATGTCTGCTCCCCACCTTGGCGTCGGTTGGAGTGCCCTGAGGACGCTGAGCTCTCTGAAACACAGTGTCCTCTGACTCCCGAGTGCCTGGCGTCCAACTCCTGATAACATCCAGATGGCTTTTTCTCCATTGATGTCTTTCTTCTCAGTGTCTCGTGGGCCTTGGATCAGTACATACCAGCTGCCGTTTGTATTGGTAGAGGCCCCACCAGCCTTCCTGTCGGACACCTGCAGTTTGCTGTCCTCCCCAGGGGTGCAGCCATCACTGCGTCCTCATCCGGGCCAGTGTCCTTGGCGTGACAGTGTTCAGCAGTCCCCTGCCAACACTGGGTCCAAGAGACAAATCTGTGCTGTAGCTGTAACAGGACGGGGGCTTCTGATGCCCTCTTGTACATTTTTAAAGTGTTTCCTAAACTTTCCGTAAAAGAAAGCAACGTTTACATCTTACGTCTTTAGACATAACTTCAAGACTGTTTGAGATTTTTAAATCGCATAATTGTGCAGTTATCTGTTCCTGTGAATAACCTTATGTTTTAGAATTGGACTTGTTAGCGTGACCAGGACAGCTCCCAGAATTGTCCCGCAGTGACTCCAGAGCTTCCAGAGGAGCTCAGGGCAGTGCTGTGTTTGGAGGAGGGTCCTCCTGTGTCCGAGCTGCGCCGTTTTCACTTAGAGGATGTGTTTTAAGGGCACACATGATGGGAGTGCTAGGACTGCCGAGCCATCACTCAGTACTGCCGCCAGCACTGGGTCCCCTCCCCGAGACTGGTTTCCCTAGCAGGCGAGGGCACGGCAGAGGGGACTGCTGCTGTGCTTGCTTTCAGGTTTCTGGACACTCAGCTGCTGTCTAACGTGATCTCCTTGCTGCACACACTGTGGGTGACGAACCTGGGGGACAAAGGTGTGGAGGGGGAGAGCCAGCCACCTCGCCAGCCTGGCTCCCAGGAGCCCCGCAAGCTGCTTGCCCTGCACCTGGTCAGCGAGTTCCTTTACGTCCTCGTTGCACTCTTGAAGCACCTGAGGTGAGTCTGTCCTGTCAGCGGAGCCCGGCTCTGCCTGTTGGAGGCGCTGGTGGGCAGTGCCGCTTACTGTTCTCTGTCACCCATGGACAGCAGGTCTCAGTCACAACTCTGCAGGCCTGGCGTGGATTGAGCTAGAGCCAGAGCAGGTTCAGTGGCATTGGGACATCTTGTTTACACTGTTTCCTTTTTATCTCAACTTTGGAAGGCTCCTCATCAAGGCCCTGAGAACTGAGCACACTTTTAAAATGCACCACAGGGGCCGTTTTTAGGAGGCAGATGATCTGTCTGGGAATGTTGATTCAAACAAATACAGGAAGTTACACCGAAGAGCACCCTGCCTGTGACCTGCACCTAAGACAAGGTGTTGTCCAGCAGTCCTCTGCCTTTGTCAGAGTTTTCCAGAATACTTCTGTATTTTCCTCTGATCTCTTGGATTCAGATTCTTGGTTGAGTCCAGAGAGCTAAGTTCTCCTCGGGCTTGCACTTTATGCACACACGTTTCTCACTTACGTGCTGATGTTGACAGACCAGGACATCAGTAACAAATGGATTGTGCTCAGAATGAGGACTTTCTTGATAAAGCACAGGGCGTTTTGGTGTATACTTTTCCAAATTAAATTAAGTCACTGCTAGACAATCATGCTTCTTTTGGGGTTGCCAGGAGATCTGAGAGCTGACTGTTCTTTGAAAGAGTGGTTTTACCTCTAATGTTGTGGAATGGAATGGCTGAATTTTCAGTTCTGTGGGGTTCTGAGAGGTCTGCTTCCTCCCGGCACCCATCTGAGGCTCTGGCCGAGGGACCGTGCTTGGCCTTTGCGCTCTGGAGCAGAGAGGGGCTGTGGTCCTGGGTGCAGTTGCGTGCAGCCCCTGCCCTGCCCTGCCCCGTGCCTCGCAAGCTTTCTGCTCAGCTCCGGGCAGAGGCTGGGCTCCAGGTCTCCCGCTGTCCTTCCCCCAGTCTGCTCCCTTTTTCCGTGTCTATGTACTGCGGCCCTACCAGGTGCCTGGTGAAGCGAAAGTGGTGCCTGGCTGGCCCCTGTGTGATGCTGACAGGCTGCGGGACGGGGGCAGTTTGTGCTCAGTCTGTTGCATTGACTTCCAAACAGGCCCACCTTGGCCTCTGCCCAGCTAAGCAGCTTCTTTGAGACACTTGACTCTGTGCTGAGGTACCGGGCCACCGTCCTGCGGGCCTTCAAGGACATGGGCCGATTCACTGTGAACGAGACAGTGCTCTCCACCAAAGACGTCCTGGTCCTGCTGCACAAGTGGAGCCTCATCGAAAGAGATGTGAGGCTCCAGGAGGAGCTGAGAGCCGCCGTCGAGAGGTGCCAAGTCAGGGACCTGATGAGTGAGTACCCGAGTGGCCGCCGTCCCTGCCCCTCCCCGAGCACTTCCAGGGCTTCGAGCCTAGGACAGGTGGTGGGGGCCTGGGCACCTGCAAGCTTTTTGCCTTAGGCTGAGTCATGTGACCTGCCCGATGTCCGAGCTCCCTTCTCAAGGGTGCAGGGCAGGCGGTGGCCGAGAGCGGCTTGTCCCCACCTTGTCCCCTCCGGTGGAGTCAAAAGAGCAGACATGAGCCAGACCTCCAGGACTCAAGCTCTGACGCTGTCACCTATAGGTTTTGTTTCTTCCCCCTTTTTTCTTTCTTTCTTTTCTTCCTCTTGCTTTGTGCTCCCCAGGCTGGTTTTGAGCTGCTGGGCTCAAGCAGTCCTCCTGCCTCTGCCTCCTGAGCAGCCAGGATCACAGGTGCACACCACACCTGGTTTTCCTCCCGCACGATGAGATGAGCGTAGTAACAGTGACAGAGGATGATGCGGCAGTGTCATGTGCATTGGGGGCCATGAAGGAGCAGGGCTTGTTCGGAGCAGGCTCTCTGGGGAGGTGGGACAGCAGCCTCACCACCTTGTCCTTTATGTCAACAGAAATGCTCAAGGATAAGAACAGGCCGATTGTGCCGGCCCGAGCCCGGGGCCCGAGAGGCCGCAAGAGGAGGCCTGGGGAGGCCGAGGAGACAGCCCAGCCTGAGCTGGCGGCGTCCAGTGTGGAGACCTGCAGGGCCCTGCTGAGGTCCATCCTGACCCACTGGGCACCAGTGGTCCCTGGCCCTGAGCCCTCCCAGGACCGGGACACTCAGGAGAGCAAAGCCACAGGCCGTGTGCACACCGCCGCCTCCCTGGTGGCCCGCTGGGTGCTGCGCTCTGTGGCTGAGGGCCCGCTCCGCGGAGCAGAGGCGGTGAGACTCCTAGGCTGGCTGAAGAACCACATTTTGCCACACCCGGCCGTGGTGGCTGACCTTCTGGGGGACGGAGCCGTGAGGAGGAGCCTGTTTCAGCTGTACACCCGCCTCTGCAGTGCTGAGGGGCTGGCAGGGCCTGCACAGGACGTGGCTGTCCTGTTCAACACGGTCATGCTGCAGCTGGTGGCGGCCCAGGGCCACGTGGGGAGCGCCTTGCACTCGGCAGTGGAGGCCCTGTGCGCGTCCTCTGTGCAGGAGGAAGATGGCACCACACGAGGTAATGCTGGCTCTCCGGCCGGAAGCTGGGAGGTGTGGGAGTGCGCCTGGGGCTGGGGGGAGCCTCTGTTCCTGCGGACGGCCAGGCCTCTGCCAGCCCCCTCCTCAGCTCAGCACCTGAAGCATTTAGGTGACCCCTCACCGCGATTCTGCCCTTTGACACTGACTGCGAAGGGAGAGAGAGAGTCTTTGCCCTAGCTTTCAGGTGAAAAGTTAGTGACACGTGAGAACGGTGTCCTCTCAGCCCGTGTCCCCCAGGGATATTCCCACACGGCAGAGCGGAGTTTGGAAGATTACCCAGCCAGGTGTGTGGTAGGTGACGAGTGTCTGCCGAGCACAGACACTTGCACAGCTTGCACACCTGGCATCCCCTGGGCGCCCGAGGGTCTGATGCGTAGGTGAGCAGGGCGGTGACCCGAGCAGGCTCGGCCGGCTGCCTTCTTTGGGGTGGCAGTTCCTTCACTGCGGGGCCTGCGGAGGACTCAGGCCCAGAGCTCCTGATACCTCCTAGCCTTGTTGTGACTTCTCCTTTAAGATCCACACACATAAACCCATAAGATTCACCAGAGGAAAGGTGCATTTTAGAATGAATGCAGGCCTAAGCCGAGCCGGTTGGTTTCACTCGTGTGCCCCGCTGGAGCCAGCAGGCTGTGGTGCAGGGCAGGGAGGCTTAGGAAAGATCCGCAGTGGGCAGGTACCGTCCTGACAGCCTCTGCTCACCCTCCCTCAGCCTCCGCGGTGTTCCTGGTGTCTCTGTACATTAAGGACATCTGGCTGGGGGCCCAGCGGCCAGACACGCTCCTAACGCACGTCCGAATGGTCTGCGAGGCTGCAGAGGACACGCCGGGTGTGGAGGAGGAGGCCATCGTCTTGCTCTGCAGGGACATCGCTGCGTCGGCCTCAGCTGCTTGACTCCTGCTCCTGGGCTCTGGAAGTGTAGTGGAGTCTCTGTTTGTGGGCCAGACGTGAGATGACAGGTTCTGCATGTTGGCTCAGTTTCCGACCTGAAGAGCCAAAGGACCTTATTTAACCAGTAAATGATTGTGTTCAAGTGAACACATGCAGGTGATTAGGGCTGCGGGACCGTGGGGCACTCTGACCGCTCCCCTCCAGGGTCCCCGTGCTCAGAGGAGAATGTCAGGTCCAGCTGCTTGCAGCTGCTACCCAGTCTGTGAGTGGTCAAGCTAAAATGTCAGCAAAACTGTCATGTGTTTTGGTGAGTACAAAGAGAGGTATTTAAAGTTTTTCCTCGGTAAGAAGTTGTAACAAAATTCTGTGTGACTCTGAATGAATGAGTGCCTGCCAGTGTTATGTATTTTATTAAATCAAAGGGTGTCACGCTAAATCCTTAAAGGATGAAGTGGTTTGATCTCTGCTTTGGGACAGCAGCCTGTATTTTTTACAGTTGTGTTTCAAAGAGGGGATTTTGAATTTTATAATCGCTTCATAATAAAAGTCTATTTTTATAAGGTTTTGTGTTTTGCTCTCACTGATGTTAGGGCTATTTTTGTTCCCGAGACCTGCATTTTATAGGTCAGAAGTTGACTTTTAAGGTTCGTGTATTACTGGGTATCGTAGCTGACAAAAATCGGTGAAATTTCTTGGATTTCTCGGTAAAACACTGACGTGGTTCTTTGAGACCCTTTTGCACACCTTGTGTCCCTGGGTGGCTCCGGCACCTCGACGTGGCTGTTTAATTGGTCTTGTGTAACGTGCATAGTGCTGGGAGGGCTCGGTTTGGTGTTAAGCGTTTACCCTTTATGCACCACCAGTGTTCCTTACAATCCTGTGTTTAAACGATTGAAGATGTTAATGGCACCAAGAATAACGCTTATCTGTGTGCACCTTACTGCAGATAGGGCTTGTAGTCTAAAGGGGGAGACCGTTCGTCTCTCCAGTCCCTTCCCCACAAAAAGCTCACGACCATATTTTGGTATTCTGAGTTGAAATTCTATGTTTAGATTCAACTTGGACTCATCCAAGGACTGTGACAGCAAAGGCCACTTTTTCTTCCTATTTGCAGGTCCTTCTCCGTCTTTTTTGTTTGTTTGCTGTTTTAAAACAGGGTCTCACTGTGTAGTCAGGCTGGCCCTGAACTCCTCCTGCCTCAGGCTCCTGACTGCTGGGAATGCAGGCATGCGCTGCTGCCACACCCGGCCTGTTTCTACCTGTCCTTTACCTTTCCACTGCATAGTAGGATGTCCTTGCTCACAGGCCTCTCCGAGGAGCGTGTGCAGAGCGTCTTGGCTGGCAGGACCAGGCCTGTGGCCTGTTTCTGGCCTGCGCTTCTGGCAGAAGGGAGGGGACTATGAGCAGAGAAAGTTGCCGCGCCCTTCACGGGCCCTAGGCCTCAGTGTCTCCTAGATTCCTCGTTCCAGGGACTTAGGCATTGACCCTGCCTGGCTGGGGCAGCCTCACACTCAGCGCACCCGGGCACACCTGCCCTTCTGCCACAAGCCTTGGGGAAGGAGAGGTTGCCAGGCAGCCTCCGAGGCCGCTGCTCACAGCTGTCCTTTCCTAGTGCCCTCATGCCACCTGTCAGCTGGTCCCTGCCCTTTCGCTCTGAAGAGAGCTGTCCCAGAGCAGATCTCCATGGCCCAGATGAGAAGCGAACAAGTGAAAAGACGCAGCCTTAGGCGGTGACAAGACTTCAGAGCCGGGTTTCCGCTCAATAAGTTCACAGTTTTAGCAAGTGGCCCCTTTTCTGCATTCCGGGCCCGCCAATCCCACGGCCCCTCGTGGTGACCCTGGCGGCTCCACCCTGTGAAGCCATCTGTCCCCAAGCGGAGAACAGGTCTCTCCCTGTGGAGAGCGGGTTTATGCAGTCTTCGCCAGGACTTAAAATACGAGACAGTCCATTGTAAATACAGCCGCTGCTCCAGAGCCTGGGGTCTCCAGCGGAACTGAAAACATTCAGAAAGAAAAACAGGGCTGAACATGGCCTTGCTATTCCCTCAACAACACAGCGTAACGGTTATTTACCCAACATTTACGCAGTATTCAGCATTATTATAGGAAGCTGGAGGTGACGTGCAGTCTGTGGGAAGGTGTGTTGGTCATATGCAAATACACGTGTATTTCCCAGAAGGGAGCTGTGCTGGTGTGCTGCTGTACCCCTTTCCAGCCCAGGGCCCTTGCTTTCCGGAGGAGGAGACCTTTTAGGGCTCAGGTCTGCCCTCACACAAAGTGGCATCCAGAGTGAGACGCAGCCTCAAGCGCTTTTCCCAACTGCTATAGCACCAGAGGCAGACTCATTCCCTGGGCACGGGTGCCGCCTGCCCGGCCAGGCCCCACGGCCACCGCGGGAGGTGTCTGTACCCCGGGGCTCTGGCTGAAGGCCACGTGCAAGTGAAGGTGTCATGTCAGTTCCTGGACCGTGACCCAGACGCTGCCACCCATCCAAGAGCCACAGGAGTCAGCAGAGGACGAGGGGGACCCGCGGGCTTCGCCAGCGTCTGACGGCGCAGCCGACCCGGGCGCCCCTCCAGGAGGAGCAGTGCCCTAGCGATACCAGTGAACACACTTTCATTATAATTCACGTAGCACGTACTTTATTTCCCTGCTCCTCCCAAGGCAGACAGAAGCAGCGCGCTACGGAGGCGGCAAGGCCGGGAAGCTGGCCCTGCGCAAGCCTTCGGCCAAGGCGGGCCGCGCACCTCCTCGTGCTGTCCTTTTTGACTTGGCCGCGCGGAGACGTGGAAACGGGCTTGAGAATGATGAACCCGCCCGCGCGGCTTGCTGTCACCAGTCCCCCGCCGCCGCTCGTGTCTCCAGGCCTGCCGAGCTTGTTCTGCCGGCCGCTGAGGTCCTGAGCACCGCGCCGGCTCGGGCTGTCCCGGAGGAGAGCAGGGGATGTGAGGCGGAGAGGCGCCTTCTACAGCTGCCGGTCCGCGCCCGCGCCGCCTGCCGGCTCCTCCGCGGTCCCCTGCGAGGCCCTCCGGAGGCAGAGCGGGAGGCTGAGGCAGGGACTCCTCTGCGGGCACGCCTGGCGCTGGGGGCCATTCCTGCGGAATACCCCATAGGAGGCAGTGTCAGAGCACGCTTTCCTGTCACTGCCCCCTACCACACACACACACTCACTCACACACACACACACACACACACACACTCTCTCTCTCTCTCACGGAAGGCCCAGGGCGCAGAGACCTGAGGGAAGGATCAAAGCCAGCTCAGGAAGGCGCCATTCAGAGGGCTGGGGAGGAAGTGGGGCATCTCAGGAGCAAGGCCTCGGTCTTTCCCCGAAGCTCTCCCCTGCTCATGTCCCCTGGGCCTGACCTTCCTCACTGGCATTTGTCACTGGGTCTCTCATGTCTACCCTAAGCCAATTGGTGTCTGAGCTAAGAAATCCGTCCTCCCTGACTTCTGCCCGGAGCTGCCTGGTGTCAGCCTGGCTACAGCCATACTGCAGCATGAGCTACATCCCCAGAACTTTTTAAATATCTATCCTTTGAGACAGGATTTTGCTAAGCCGATAATTTACTAGGCTCAAACTTAAGATCCTCCTGCCTCAGCCTCCCAGAGCACAGAGATTACAGGCATGAACCCCAGTTTAGAACACTTCTGTCATCCCCAAAAGACACCCACTAGCAATCCTCCCCTTCCCTTGTCCTCCCGCAGCCCTGCGTGACACGGCTCTGCTTCCGTCTGTGTGGATTTGCCTTTCTAGGCGTTCACATCGGCGGGGTCGTACTGTGTGGACTCCGCGTCTGGCTTCTCAGCGCGCCATTGCCGGGACTCAGTCATGCACTGCTTAGTAAGCGGGGTGTACACCCCGAGATGAGTCCCTAGGTGATCCTCTCGTTGCACAAATGTCACAGTGCACACTCGCAGAGACAAAGGTGGCTGCCACCTAATTAGCACATAGAATCGCATGGAGCCACCGTCAAATGTGTGGCAGCATTGAGCCAACATTGTTACGTGCTGCGTGACTCTACATCCGTGTTCTAGCGTGCATCAGTACTTTGTTCATTTTTCCTGGCTGAATACGAGTCCACTGTGTGGCTGTTCTGTTCTATTAATCTCTTGAGCACCTGAGTTTGCTGAACCCTAACCCCTTCCCACTTACCTCATCTGCGAGGAGCCTGGGCAGGACGTGCAGAGCAGAATGAGGAAGAGGAGCATCACGAAAGCAGCCAGGCCCACCCAGAAGGCAATCACAATGGAATCTGCGGGAGGAACAGCATGGCCTGTGTTGGTTTGTGCGGACACGGACCAGCAGGAGGGGATGGAGGGAGCCCGAGTCCTGCTGCACTGGGGCCCCAGTGCGGTCCTCCCAGCTCTTCCCTCGTGGCTGCCCCTGGGCGGAAGGCGGGCACAGCCTTGGGAAGGTGCGGGCGGGAGGGATGGAGTGTGTCCGGGGCGCTGGCGCGGGGTTGGGGCACTGTTGTCCACCGAGGGAAGGCGGTGAGTATTTGTGGCGCCCACGGATCTGCCGCCCAGAGGATCAGCTGTGAAGGACAGTTCCTCTTGTCCTCCTTGGTGGCTCGAGGCCAGGGGAAACCCAGAAACTCGCTCAACCTCCTGGGGGCCCTGGCAGGTCGGAGGTGCCTTTCTCTGGGGCTACTGGATCAGAAACGTTCAGCAAGTTCTCCCTTGTTAGCTCTGGCCGTGAGTATCGGGCACGAAGCTTTTCATGAAAACCTGCGAGTGTCCTAGCTTAGAACAATTGGATGATGTTAGGACAAGATGCCCCAACTGAGCTGCACATGGTGGTACACACCCATAATCCCATCACACAGGAGGCTGAGGCAAGACAATCACTGCCAATTTTTCCTGACCTGAAGCTTACCCTTTAATCCAGAGCTCTGCCTACTCACAGCAGGTGCTGCTACTCTGATGAGTGAAAATCTGCAAAATCTCAATTGTGGAATTCTTCCAAATGCTACTAACATCAGAGTTCGAGAGTCCTAAACGGGGATTAAGTTCAAGATTTTTCCCTTACTGAGCCGGGCATGTTGCACACCTGTAATCTTAGCATTGCTGAGGCTGAGGCAGGAGGATTATGAGTCTGAGCCCAACCTGATCTACACAGTGAGTTCAAGACTACAGAGTGTCTTACTGGTTATCTTTTCCCATTGTGTTTAGACGTGGTTTCCTGGCTGCAGGCTAATGTTTAACTCAGAAGGTGGATGTAGTTGCAGAAAGTGTTCTCCAGGGTGGGCCCTCCCTTTTCCCTACGTGTTTCCTTGGTTACTGAGGCCACACATCTAGTATAGAAAGGAGGCTCCAAGGATGTAAAATTGCAGATTTCCCAAGATCACATAGCTAGGAAAGGGAGGAATCAGAATTTGAACTCAGAACCATCTATCTCTTAAGTCTAGGCTTTCATCACATTATTATTCCCAAATAAGGAAAAAACCGTTGTTGTTGAGACATGATCTAATATGTACTTCTAATGTAGTCTTGAACTCACTGTATAGATCAGGTTGGGCTCAGACTCATAATCCTCCTGCCTCAGCCTCAGCAATGCTAAGATTACAGGTGTGCAACATGCCCGGCTCAGTAAGGGAAAAATCTTGAACTTAATCCCCGTTTAGGACTCTCGAACTCTGATGTTAGTAGCATTTGGAAGAATTCCACAATTGAGATTTTGCAGATTTTCACTCATCAGAGTAGCAGCACCTGCTGTGAGTAGGCAGAGCTCTGGATTAAAGGGTAAGCTTCAGGTCAGGAAAAATCCCTCAAGGTGAGGAGAAGCCCAGTCACGCCCTTGGGAACATTTTTGTCACCCTGTTATTGATGTCCAGTTCTCACTCTGCCAGTGTACACAGGGAAGGAAGAAGGAAGGAAGGAAGCAGGGAGGAAGGAAGGAAGGAAGAAAAGAAGGAAGGAAGGAAGGATGGAAGAAGGACGGAAGGAAGGGAGGGAGAAAGGAAGGAAGGAGGAAGAGTTCAGGGAAGGAAGGAGGTGAGGGGTAGGGAAGGAGGACCAGGAGGACCAGGAGGACGAGGAAAAGGAGGGTGGGGAGTGAGCAGATCTCTGTAATGCGCAGTGTCACGGCCCGGCCGCCTGGGCCTCCTGGTGAAAACCGGCCATGCTGCTCAGACAGCCCCAGTACTGGCAGTGACAGGTCTTGCCTTGGGAACAAATGCTCTGGAGAGCACTCGCAGTGACCCTTCAGAGAGGACAAGACCCCAGACATGCGCCCATTGACTATGCAGATTTGACCTCCTGCGGGCTTTGGACACCATGACAGATCCTCCAAGGGCAATAAAAGGTCAAAAAGTCCACCGCCCAACAAAGAGGCTGAGTTAGGCCACTCATTGGCAGGAATCCTACCAAACCCACAATCCCACCCCAAGCTCTAAGGCTTAAAACTCTCAGCACCAAGTCTGCTCAGTGCTGTGAACTCTTTTCACTGACCTACTCCCGCTCTGTGGAGGGTATCTTGTCTTTTCTCTTTCAGATAAATCCTTGTTTCTGCTGCTGATCTTGGGTGTCCTGCTCAATTCTTTGTCTAACACATAAAGAATCCCAACCTGGTAACACCAGGAGAGAAGGGTAACTATTAAGAGATAAGGAAATTCTGTGAGATTACCTAGAGGCTGAGAGGGGCATTCCCAAGTGTAATAGTCCATTCAGGCTGTGTCTTAGTCTATGTTCTGTTACTATAACAAAATACTTGAGATTGGGCAGTTTATACAGAATAGAAATTTATTTTCTGGAAGAAGAGAAGTCCAAGAGTGTGGCGCCTACATCTGGTGAGGGCTTTCTTCATGATAACATGACAGAAGCATCAAGTGGTAAGACAGAGAAAGTGTGCTAGCACAGTTCTCTCTTCCTCTTCTTAGAAAGCCACTAATGCCATCACAGGGGCCCCACTCTCAGGACCTCATGTGATATCATTCACATATGAATCTGGGAACTATGTTCCTCACAGGAACTTTATAACAAAGTACCACAGGCTGAGGGATTTAAACAACAGATACTCATTTTCTGGTAATTCTGGAGGCTGGATTCTGAGATCGAGGTGTCAGGAGCGTTGTGGCCTTCTGAAGCCTCCCTCCTTGTCTTGTAGATGCCATTTTCTCTCTGTTTCATTTTCCCTGTGTGTGTGTCTGGGTCCTAATCTCTTATAAGGAGGCCAGTCAGGTTGGATTGGGGCCCTCCCTAATGACCTCATTTTAACCTAACCACTTTTGTGAAGGCCCAGTCTCTAAATAGAGTCACACACTGAGGTACCACAGTTTAAGATTTTAGCATGCGAACTGGGGTCCCTGATACCAGAAAGGGCCAATATGGAAGGGATTCAGACTCTTTGGAGAAGGGGTGTGTGTTAGTCACTTTCCCACTGCTGAAACAAAAGACCTGGCACCCATGACTTAAAGGGGAAATTAATCTTGGCTCACAGTTTCAGTGGATTCAGTCCACAGGATCCCAGGCACAGACGGCATGGTAGAAGGGCATGGCCGGGGACAGCTCTTCAACCCACAGCAGCCGGGAAGCAGAGAAAGAAGGGAGGAGCCAGGGCCAAGAATAAACCCTTCCAGCTGAGAAAGTCCTCAGGGACCTACCTCTTCCAACAGATTCTACCTCCCAACAGTGCATTCAACCATGAACTCATCAGTGGATATAATCCACTGGTGAATATAGCACCCCTGTGACCCAGTCACCTTCCAGAGCCCCACCTCTGAACACATGAGATTTTGGGGGGACATTTTAGAGGAAGTCATTAAAGTGTAATTTGGCCACAGGCAGCAGAGCTGTTGGCTGGTTTAGCCTGGCCTAAACTCATCTGTAGCTGAAGCACCAGTAGTAGACAACCTTCTAGAGAGCCAGTGGGGACTGAGCTGTCAACAATTGGTGATGAAGGTGATGGTGGGAATCTGGCCAGGAGGCAGTGTGTGACCCTCTGTCACAGGTGTGCAGGCTGCACACGGGCTGTGGTTTCCGCAATGAGATGGCTGCATAGCAATTATGGTCACACTGAAGCTGTAAGACCTCAGAGGGCCTATGGTCTGGCTGGTAATGGGACAGTTCTACAGATGTCCTCACACCCACACTGAGGACTCCCATCCTAACCTGACCCCTCTGGTCCTACCCCTTCAGGACTCACTCCTGTAAAAGCAACACGGTGCTCTGGCCTTAAAGAAGTTCCTCAAGGACTCTCATCTTTTATCACAATGTACATTCTGAAGAGTTCATCAGAACTAAGAAACAAAATATTGATAATTGACAGATATTCGGTATGTTCAGGCATCATTCAGGTCATGGATCCATGTTCCTGTCCCTGATCATGCCTGCTGGTGAAAATTTGCCTGCTGAACACTACAAATATCCTAGGAAGAGCTCTGGAGGGTCTGGGGCCGAGACTTTAAGTTCTAGCTCTGTGACTATCTGGCTGGGTACCTTGGCTTCTGTTATGGTTTCTATATTGATGTCCCTGCTAAAGTCTCATGCAACCACAGGCAGGGCTTTGGAAGCTGAGTGGATTGAGGGCTTTTGGCTGATTTGCTGTTAGGAGGTGGGGTCTGATTGGAAGGGGCAAGTCATTGGAGGCGTGGCCTGGAGGTTACTACCCTCCCCAGTTCCTTCCTTGATCTCTCTGCTTCCTGTCCACCATGCTGTGAGCAATTCTGTGCCGTGCCCCTCCGCCATTCTGTCCTGCCATGGAGCCAGCCACCTATGAGCTAAAATCTCTACAAACTGTGAGCCAAAACAAATCTCACCTCCTTTGCATTATAAGTGTTAGGTATTGTGCCGCAGCAATAAGAAAAGTGACTACAGTATTGTCTTTGGGCCCCCGTATCCTATGTCTCTTTCTGATTTAGGACACTGAAGCACACTCACTGATTTTAGCTGGTCTCTGTTTACAAGACTGTCAATTCCTAAGAGCAGGAATCTCTCCTTTAAATTTCCAGCCCCTGTATGTCTCCTAATGTCCCATCCAGGTGTCACCCACCACCTGCACATTTCTGTCTTCACCAGAGGGATATTTTTAGCAAACAAATTGGACCTCATCACTTCCCTACTTCTAATGTTGGCTGACTCCCCACAGCTGACCTCTGAAGCCAGCCTGTGAAGATCCAGCCCCCGTGTTGTCTATAGCTCTCAACTCTGCCACTCTTCCCAAAAAACATCCCTCATAGCATCCTCCCAGAAACACTTGCTTCACCCTCTGCTCTATAACTCTTCTCTACCCCGTGCATGCCCTTTCACAGGAAAA